TGCACAAATTAGGCTACTTTATCGATAAGTAAGAAGTCATTCTCCTAAAAAGTCAATTCATTCCCTTGTATTACAAGCTCATTTGATTTTGCTATGCCTTACAACTTTCTTCCAAATTCTGGCGATCCTCCGAAGTCCGGTCCCACATTATGTCGTATGAAAAAAAAGTGCAATGCACAATGTGTATTGTTAGAAAACAGCAGAAATGTCAGTCAATGAATGAAATAGCAAAACGAGGTATGTGGAAGCTTGAATAAGAGAACAGGACACAAAACAAGGACGTTCCGGCATAAAGCCTTCTTCAGCTAACAGTAGAAATGAAAATATAACAAAGAACAGAGCGCATTAGACAACTCAAGAAGTATCCATTGGTGTAGCCATGGGCGCCCGCAGAAAACTTTCTAGGGGGGGGGGGCAAAAAAATAGGATGATGTGCACAATGTATTACAGAAGAGGGGAATCGACAGCGGGTTAAACAATTTTTAGTAATGTTTTAATGTACTTTTAATTTACTGTAGCGTATTTTTATGGTGAACGAACGGACAGGACATCAGCTTAGTTACTTTCTCTTTATTTTCTCTTTACTTTAATACATTTTTTGTCTATTTTTTTCTAAAAAATTGTATCCAATCAATCCAGGGGGGGGGCAAGTGCCCCCTTGCGCCCCCCCCCCTGCGGGCGCCCATGAGTGTAGCCAATAACTCTCAATTTACAAACCAGTAAGTCAATACTAAATTTTGTAATTGGCGCATAGCATTTGCAAATCGCAGCTGAAAACACTCTGCTTGTGACTGCTGCGACACTGAAAGGCCCCGAAGTAACTGGCAAACAGATCGCGACTAGTAGGCCTACCCCTCTGATAGTGGAGTTTACGTTTCGCATGCATCCAAAGTCCTTCATTAGTTTCTGTGTGAATGTCCTGGTCTACTGGATCAACAAATTCACGTGCGTGCACAGTGACAACGTGAGCATAAATCCCGCTGTTGAGCTGACCGACATTTAGAAATCCTCGCCCAGCGTCCGTGACGATAGTTGTCCCTGGCAACACATGATTAGTGATAATGCGCTCGAGTGTTTGTGCATCTCGACGGCCAACAACCTCCATCCAACATCGTCCACTACCACAAACATGAATTTCAAAACAAAATGATGCCTACTTCGGAGGATTGCCCAAATTCTCAGGCTTGTGCCCATGAAATTAGTACCTCGCTAATAGCTGGTGGGATGTTACTTCCGCGATTGTCAGTTGTGATTTTTAAGAATCAACAGTGCAATGCGATGCACACAAGCCGGCGTTTTTTAAACCCTCTATTACGCAATTTTAGTTTTTTATGGAAAAAAAATTTTTGATGGCATACTTCATAGTTATTGGACTTAAATAGACATAATATGCAAGAAAAATAATTTTTTAAAATAAAATAATGATTTTATTGGTATGTTGCCATATGGCAACAGTGCGTCTTAAAGGTCAGAAAAGTAAAACTGAACAAGAAAAGGAAACGATAACAATAATATTTGTAAAAGGTGAATATTTAATCGTTTACACAAACAATGGTCATCAGTACTAAGCTTACAAGCATATCTTCATATTATGCTTTTATATCATGAAAAAGATCATTATAAAAATCATATTTTATAAGCATTTTTTACACAAAAATATAGAAAATCATGTCATCCGTATATAGAGCACATAGAGGGACAGTAAATACTTATATACATATGTGAAATGCAGGTTTAATGCTGGTGGAACTGTTTGAAGCAATGTGAACTTTACATTATGCACATTTTATTCTTGAAAATTCTTCGCAACCTGGTCTCTTGCATCTTCCTTTGTTTTCAAGTGGCTCAGGAAAGTGCCAAATATAATCAGCTTTTACTGGTAAGGGTGGAACAGCTGCAGTAGGACCACTCAAATTTTTAGCTGCAAGTTGAGGCGCTATATCCAATGAAGGACTACCAAGTTTCCTAAACCCTGCTTTACCTTCTTTCATTAGGCATACGGCCATCTTGGTGTTGAAATCAAGTACACCGAGGATATATTTTGTCGCAATTCACATTAGTACAATCAGCCTATAGATCAGCCATGCCAGCACAACTGCCATACTGGTATCCAGAAAGTGGAATATTATACAGTGATACTATTTTTTGGACCTTACTGGTATCCTGTATACGGCCAACAGTGAAGCGAGAAGATCCACACCACCCATGAATTTATTGTAAACCATGATTACCGATGGACAAGTTACCTAGATTTCCCTTTTAGCCTTTTGTCCCATCTTTTGACCCGTTTCATGGGCTCAATAGCAGCAAATGTACTGAGTGTGGTTACCGCTCTATTGTCAACCCATTTGACTGGAAACAGATCAACACCGTCATGGTGGCAGGTTTTCAGAATTGCGGAGCCCCTTCCATTTCTTGCCAAGTCCTTATCTGAAGGCATTATGCAATTTTTAAGCCTATTAGACCTTACAGTGCCAATAGCTGCATGTCAGCTTCATCTCTGTGGTGTCAAAGCAAATTTCTTGCAAATAGTTTTGCCCGTGGTTGGATTGCAGTGTCTAAAGAATTACCAGGTGTGTCGTTAGTTTCACAGTCTGAGTCTGATATGGTTGAAGCTGAAAAGGGAAATTTTAAATATTATTTTTCAGTGTTTACTTTAACTTTTGGCTTGAATGTTATATAATTGTTTTTTTTTTAAATATTAGAGATTAAATGCAATTTAAAAAAGTATATGAAAACATACTTGTTGTGTTCTTGAGTCAAAGTTTCATCTATGTCATCATCGCGTGAAGATAGCTCGGAGTCCTCAGGAATAGAAGGAATATCCACATTTTTATTTTTTCCATAAAAGCATGATGGTTCCATGACTGCTTTGATGTTTGGATATTTGAATTCTAGAAGAAAAAAACATTATAGGAAACTAATAATTCCACACAAAAAATAACTTACAATATAGACTTATATCTTGTATAGTATCTATTCATTTTTTTTTTATAAAAAGAATTGTAACATTAATTTAAAACCTGTTAATTTGATCAAAATATAAAAGGATAACATTAATATTAGATATGTATAGATATTTCATAAAAAAAATATTATTCAGATAGCTTATAATAAATAAACTGATTATATATTGTATGTTGCCATTTGGCAACAAAAAAATAAACACAAAAAATTAACCACATCGACGCACTGTTGCCAATTGGCAACATACCATTTTTTTCGTATGTCATCCACCTATGATGACAAATATCAAACATAAGCTCATTTAATATCAGTTCAAACATTAAATTTAACATTCTTTATTTTTTATAACAGGAATTATCATTATGTGATATAAAAAAACAGCTTGTACTTACTGGATTCGGCGGAAAAAATTGTAGTCAACTGTGACCGTCTAAAATGTGTTCTTACATAAAAACTGCAAAGCGAAAGTGAAGAGTTCTTCAGGATAAAAGTTTGAAACCTCGTAATTGAAAAGGGGAACCACTCCAACAAATTAAAAATTGGGCTTGCAGTACTAGCAGTAGTGTAATTTCGCTTTGTTGCCAAATGGCAACATTGCGTAATAGAGGGTTAAACATTAAAATCTTAGAAAAATAGGATTGCTCAGTCGTAAAGTTCATTTAGAACTATAGGTCATAGTGTTGTCACATGTATTGTTAATCGCCGCTGGTACATTTTTTTTTGAAAAATAGATGAAATATCTTTTTTTTTTCCTTTCTCTTCGCTGTGTGGATATTTTTTCTATCATTGCTCTTTCTTGTTACTGACAATGAAAACAAAATGTATGTTCTGCTGTTCCTTTTACATTTATAATTTGAAAAAAAAAAATAATACCCCATTGCCTCCCTCCCCGTTGGGCGTCCCAGAGCCCCTTAAAATCTCCCAAGCCTTTCGCCGCCCCTTGAGTTTAAGCAACTCAACCCCCTAGCTGGGGGTGGTATATTATTATTATTTTAAGCGGTTTTATATAGCGTAGTACCCCAGCCTAGGGCTGTGCTCACCACGTTGTACATTCAATTTAACAAAATAAAAAAAACGTTAACAATTCATTGGCATGCATTAAATATATAAATGCGTGGTACCGCCAACTTTGAGAACCACCGTGATAGATGTTTAGTCCTTTTTAAGTCTTTGATTTATAAAATAATTATTTTAAATTGTCGGTTAAAAAATTATGCAGGGGAAAATTAATCATCGTTCTTTAAAAGTCTGCAATCGCTTATCATTTATTTACATTCTTAGTATCAAAATTCCACCAAGTTCATTTCTCGGGGCAACTCTTGTTTGACACTCAGTTGCACAGACCAGGGCAAAGAAAACCCATCAGTACAGACTGCGGGTGGCTCATTGAATTCCCTTGACAGAGACTACAACTAACAAGCACAAGAGGGTGCATGAGAGTTTAGTATTTTGAAATGGGTAAATCAAATATCCTCAAACTAGACAGAAGTAAGAATAAAATTCTAGATGCCTCGATGGGATGGATTTGTTTTGTTTGTCAAATTTTAAACTCTAAGTGAAGTGCAAGTTGGTAAAGGAAAAAAAAAAGATAATCAAAAGGCTTATGGCAACTAGAAAAAGGGGGTAAAAATATATAACACTTCATTTATGAGCAGGATTTAAAAACCTATTTTAGTTTTATCATACTTTTGAAGCCCTTACCCATATTCAGGTGGGCATTTTAAGAGTTTGGCCACTTTGGCTAGTCTTTTTAACCGGTACATGGTATCGTTCACTTTCACAAGGGGCATAAGCTGCTCTTATTTCACATTCGTCATGTGCCTAGCTCGGGGGGGGGGGGGGAATAAATTAGCTACTTCCTCCTAACTCTACAGAAGCGAGACCTACGTCCCTGCGATTATGCTCTTCGATACGGTACAGCAGTACAGCACAAACGTATTCATCTCGGTCTCAGTTAAAAAAAAAAGGAAAGATGCGCTAGCTTTTCTTTACTCTTTACCAAAATGAGGTTAATATCTATTTCCGTATGCGCATGCGTAACAGTTACAAATTACTGACTACTGTTGTCAGAAAGTCAGGAAGCGATAATTGTATTTCTCCACTTATGTTTGTTTTATGATGCATTTTACCCGTAAAAAGGCTATACATTAAATATTTCTACGATGGGGCTACAACCGCTTGAATTCGCTGATTGTCTCACAGATAGCCCATATTTTCGCACAAAGTTAGCTGAACACGAAAAAGAACTCGAACGTACCAGTAAATTTATAAAAACATTGATTCATCACGGACGCGACGTCTACAATGCAGCAAAACGTAAGTGGACTATTATTTTATCTATCATCTGTAGTAGAAAATCCTTTTGTATCAACATTTTTAGATGCTTTATAATTTATATTAACCGTACTCCTTTTTGTACAATGCTGAGATTGAACAAACTTAATCAGTGACCTGTGCGAACAAACATAATAATAATAATACTAGTACGTATTTAGTATTAGTATTAGTATACAATATACAATCTTCAGTCTGGTCGTTTAGTTTAGAGATATAGTACAGTCCTGTGGTTGTTTTAGTTTACCTGCTTTATTAGTAGGCCTTCACAGACAAATCCATTTTAATAATAAAATCTTTAGTTTGGCAGTTTAAGCATATGCCAATGCATCAGCATACCTATCTCACACTCACATCAATAATATTAATAAAAGCACAGATATTCCTTCAATTTCAATGCCTTGCCTTCATGTTCAATTATTAAATTATATATTACATTATATTCTGAGTAGGCCTATATAATATATACAATACTAAATAGACCTAAGAAAACATGAACCTTTACTTTAAAAATGAAGACCAAGCACTGAGACTGAGTGAGATCAGGAATTCCAGATGCTAATCAATGAATTAAAAATAAATACATTTATATTTATAATTTATATATTTAATGATTAATGATTATATCAGTATATAACTATATGCAGATTATAAGTCTTGGCATAAGTCCTATAATTCACTATATAAATAATAATAAAAAGTAGCCTAACCTCCAATAACAACGGTATGATAAGTATGAATACTAATATTTATGTGCTAACTGTAAAAAATAGAACGATTCGGCTAATGTGAAGAGATAGCACCCTGGTTTGGATAGGGTTAAAACCCTGGTTCTGATAGGGTCAAAACCCAGGTTAGAGATAACTTTAGGGTTTAGGTTTGGTTTAAGGATACATTTAGGACATAAGTTCACGGGTCGCGGCAACCAAGGTAAAAAAATGCAATGCTGTCTCTTCACATTTACCAAAGTCTTGATAATAAGAATTGCCTAATCACAAAATAGGTCTTTCTAATCCACTTTTTGAAAAATTCAGAAACTAACAAACAAAAGAAAGCTTCTTTTAATTCTTGGAAGACTAAACGCTTAGTGTTAGTTCTCCTACATCTATATTATTAGGTTATTATTAGTATTATACAATACCATACAAGTACATTACAAGTCACAAGGCCTGCACTTTCTAATAACTGCACAATATGACATATCAAAGTAAAATAATATTGTGCAGGTAACAGTAAAAACTAAACAAGGCTATTATCTCAATATTCTTGGCCTTTATTGGTTGACATGTAGGCTATAAGTATTGTTTAGCCTACCAGTTGGCTACGGCTACATCAAATAATTTATTTAGCTTTAAATAGAGACTGACCGAATTTCGGCTTCGGTTTCGGCGCCAAAAGTGGCCATTTTATCAGTTTCGGCCAAAATCGACTTAGACTTTCGGCCATCCGTCCGAAAGTGACTCATGTTTTCGGTCATTTTAATTCTCAGTGAAAGCGATATTTAACAACAAACTAAGCCACTTTTAAGAACAAATTAAGCGATCTTTGAGAACAAACTAAACGATATTTAACAACAAACTAAGGGACATTTAAGAACAAACTAAACGATCTTTAAAACAAACTAAGCAATCTTTAAGAACAATCTAAGGGATCTTTAATAACAAACTAAACGCTCTAATAGAACAAACTAAACGATTTCTAAGACGAACTAAATGATCTTTAAGAACAAAACAAATGATCTTTAATAGTAAACTAAATGATTTATAAGAATAAACTAAGCGATCTTTAACAGAAAACTAAATGTTCTTTAGGAACAAACTAAAAGATCTTTAAGAACAAACTAATCTATCTTAAGGAACAAAATTAATTATCTTTAAGAACAAACTAAGCGATCTTTATAAAAAAACCTAAGCGATCTTTACAACAAACTAAGCTATCTTTAACAACAAACTAAAGCGATCTTTAAGAACAAACTAACCCATCTTTATGAAAAAAAACTAAGCGATCTTTACAAAAAACTAAGCGATCTTTAACAACAAACTAAACAATCTTTAACAACAAACTAAACGATCTTTAACAACAAACTAAACAATCTTTAACAACAAACTAAACGATCTTTAACAACAAACTCAACGATCTTTAACAACAAACTAAACGATATTTAACAACAAACTAAACGATCTTTAACAACAAACTCAACGATCTTTAACAACAAACTAACCGATCAATAACAACCAATTAAACGATCTTTAAAAACATATTAAGCGAACTTTTAGAACCACATTTTTTTAACACCCCTTTTAAAAAAAAAAAAATTTTTCTTTTAATCCCCCCCCCCCCCCCAATTTTCTCCTACCATACTAATTTAAAAAAAAATTGTAAAGCAATTTAAATTACTTTTATATTAAAATGGTAAAATCCTAAGTATTCTTAGATCAAGGGTCTCAAACTCAAATCATAGGGGGAAGGGGGGGGGCACAGGAGGTAGTGTCTGAATGAGAGTGGGCTGCATCAAGTAATCCACAAAAAAGCGATTACAACTGTTACAATCTGCTCAACCTTTATAAATAGCAATAAAATCATTAAGGGTTCTCAAGAACTACTCACTGTTGCCAGAGACCTGGCACATAAAAATATATAGAAACATTAAAAAAAAAAAAAAAATCAGAATTAGACTAGTCGGTGAGATTTGACTGAAACCGTAGCGGAGAGTCTAGTTATAGATATGAGAATGGGGGAAACGCGCCGGCGCATTTACACTAAACTTTTCTGTCATGTAGCGAGCCGCAAAATATCATCTTGCGGGTCACAAATGGCTCGGGGGCCGCGAGTTTGAGACTCCTATATTAGATGTTTATTTATTAATATTCACGATTATCTCATTTTTTATAAAAAGAATGAAAATGTTTATACTTTCCCACATCATTTTCGATGTATGCAGAATGTATGCGGGAACAAATTTCAAAATATCTTAATATTTCATTTTCGGTTTCGGCCAAAATTCATTTTTAACTTTCGGTATTTTTTCGGTTTCGGCCGAAAGTCATTTTTAAACTTTCAGTATTTTTTCGGTTTCAGCCTATTTTCGGCTTCGGCCGAAATCAGAAAATCACTTTTGGTCGGTCTCTAGCTTTAAATTTACACAGGTCTGTTAAATAGTCATTGTTGATGATCAAAGGCAAGGGATGAAAGTGATATAATATTAAAGCCTCTGTTGAACCAATTCAGAAACTATGCACACTAACAAAATATCAGTAATTATTATAAAAGTATTCATCCAGGTCATGTCATATTTTATTATCATTTGTTTTGTTGGTGTTAGCTTTAGAAAATAAGTATTAAATCTTTTATTTGTAATTTTATCATTTACTTAACATTGTCATGTCATTTTTTCAAGCCTGAACACATCTTTCACTTTAAATACTTACTTCATACAGCTTGAACAGAGTCCCGACTTAGTTAATTTTCCCAATTTATTTCTTAATGACTTAATTTTACATACATTTTTTCTTTCCCTTTATGTCCCCTGTGTGAGATTTGGGTTAAAGAATAATCATTGAAATTTTAGTTAAATTATTTAATTTCTTTCTTTTTTTTTTTTTTTTTGGGAAGGGTTGGGGGGGGGGGGGGGTGTTGCAATGTTTTTAGCAGCATTTTTAGGGTAAAGCCTGATTGTTATTAAGTTTCAACTTTTTTTTTTTTTTCTTTTTTTTTTTTTTTTTTTTTTTTTTTTTGTTTTGTGTTTTTGTTGCAATGTTTTTAGCAGCATTTTTAGGGTAAAGCCTGATTGTTATTAAGTTTCAACTTTCTTATTAAGCTTCAACTTTCTAGAATATATGGATTTTCATACATGTTTTGCCGGATTGAGCATCCTAACTCACAATTGTATTTTTAAATATATTTTCTCCAGAGTTTTCAAAAGCACAAAAGGCGTTAGCCAAGGATTTAATGGATTTCAAGTTTGAATGTATTGGAAATCAACTCACAGATGATGAAATGTTTATCTGTAAGTTTTATCAACTTTTTTTTTTACATTGCCTTTATAATCATATTGACGATGATAATGCCCTTTCATTCAAACAATTTAGTTAGATACAATTTTAAAATCTTTTCACTTTTTTCAAGTTTTTTGCTTTCAGTGATATATAAACAAATATCTCTGAAACTTTTATGTTTCAGTTGAGCTCTCACTTTAACTGCCTAATTTTTTTTTGTTGACAATTAACATTGACTGTTGTCAGCAGTTTGAAAAAAAATAAAACATGGACCCTTTATTTTACTATTAGTAGTTATAAAAATGTGTAACAACAAAAATACTACACCAAAAATGTAAGAGCCTTTCAATGAAAGTTGTTTTGTCAATACTTCTTATGGAACTAAAACAGGTTTACATTACTCAGCCTCTGTATTCAAATGTTATTTCATGCCCACCTCAGATGGCCATATTAGATTTAAATATATACTCTGAATTACCATGTTGCTATTTATGGACATGTACACAGTACACTTCTTCAGAGTTACCTCCTACCCATCTCTTTCCCATGTATGCCCCCCCCCCCCAACTTTTGTTATCCACCCCTCCTTTCCACCCTTCAAATATATATTTATTTTTAGATAACCTACGTGAAAGCTATTAACGACTAGACTTAATTAAACAATATATTTAAATATTATGATGTCTGCACTACTCCAGACTATTTGAATTGTTTTAATGGAGGATACATTGCACTTCTGCCCTCATGATCCTCTTTTGGGTTTCAGCACTACCCTTCTGTTTGTTTTGTGGAGAAGGAAGAGGTTTGTCTTTTGTCCTCTATTGCGGGGGGGGGGGGGGTGTGGTGTCCCATCAAACTTTTTACATTTTTAAACAGATTGCCTGTTCACCGAATCCCCAGACACTGTTGGGGCACTTTAGTTGAAAAAGATATGAGCAGGCAAATATCTAATTTGTAGTGGCAAAACATGAAATACTCTTAAAAGCAAGAACAGTTTCAACATCAACTTACTAGCATTCAATATGATATATGGGTCCGGGGGACTGTGTTGGATAATCAAATGGTCTGTCGGATTCCTTATTTATCACTGCTACCTGGGTTCCCGTATGGCCGGTCAGGTGGGCTGGGTTAAGGAACACCGTATTCGGAAATTTGTTAGAAAGAAATTTTGTTGACGGAAGTTTGATCGAGCAGAAGTTTGGTCGTTCGGAAGTTTGGTCAAATTTTATTTTCAGTTCACCTGATCTAATTTTGCGTTAAAGTTCTCTTTGAACGCATTATTTTGTTTTACCATGTAGTATAGTGCATCCAAAGGAAATTTGACGAAAATTTGATTTTGTGAACTAAGAAAAAAAAATTGGAGCAAACAAGTTTGAGGACCCCTGCTCTATCTTGTTCCTTTCGCCCCGATGTTCTCTCTTTCATATATGTCCCCATTTACCGAGTTGGTGATATCAGAAGTAGTATTTGTTCCTCCTATCTCACCAAGGTGGTGTTTGAGATTGCATCACCGGTGAAAGGTGATTTCACCTGGACCCGGCTCCCTCGCTCCCACCCATTTAGATAGCGCATCTCCTAAGCGCCCCGGGGATCTCCCGATACTACCCGCGCCCCACTTCCTTGTGCTTGCGTAATTGTAAACAGAGGCCACGGGGAAATCGTTTTTTGGCATCCCGACAGACGTGCAGTCTGTACCGAAGTTACCACAGAAATCCTCTACGCTACCTCTGCTCACACCAGTCACACACCTTTTAATAAAGCTGTCCGTGGGCCTGAAAATGGTCTATTATATTATCAGAGGTACTCATCTTAGGGTTTTACACACTTCAATCACTATTTTACTTTTAATAACACATTCCGGGTGTACAAAAAACCTACTAATTTTATTATGAGTCTTAACAAATTAAAATTTTCACTCAATTCTCAATCCCACCCATTGGCGTAGCTAGGATTAGTGCCGCCCCGGGGCGGGACGATAATTGTGCCACCCTTCTTCCACGAAAAAGACTGCGGTTGGATAAAAATGCTGTCTTCTTCTTTTTCTTTATTTTGAGGGCCCACGATCAATGAATTGATCATTCTGGCTCCAATGTTTCAGGGGGGTTCGCCATGTTACTGCGCATGTGTTTCAAAGGGATACTTCACTGGTTGCAAGGGGTACTCAGCAGTGGTGTTAAGAACTGGGGGTTGGAATGCAGGAGGCATGGGACACATTTACACAAATGTGTCGAGTGTAGCCGCCTCAACTGTTGCTTATGGAAGCTTGTTCCAGTCCCCTATTGTCTTCGGCAGGAATGAGGAGCTCCTGTACTTTGTTCTTGTTTTTTACCACCCGAAACTGTCTGTCGTGGCCTCGTCGCTGTCTAGGGGGAAGATGAACGAGTTTCTGTTTGATTCCGGAGCAGTGCACCAGCCCATTTTTTATCTTGTACAACATGGTGAGCCTGGATAGTCGTCGTCGTTCTTCCAATGTAGACCAGCCCAGTGTTTCTAGCATGCTGCCAACACTTGATGTCTTTCTGTAGCGGTTCAGGACAAAGAGTGCTGCCCGTCGCTGGACCGCCTCCAACCTGTCGATGATTTTCTGGGTAAATGGGTCCCAGACTGTAGAAGCGTACTCTAAAAGAGGCCAGACAAAGGCTTTATATGCTTTTTCTTTCACGCTTGAGTTGCCGATCTTCAGATTACGCCTTAGGAACCCCAGGGTCTTGTTTGCCTGTTTGCACACACTGTTAATATGCTCGTCCCAGCGGACCTCTCTTTGAATGATAACACCGTCCCTCCATATAAAGAAACGGCACCGCTCGGGGCGGAGTGCCCCCCCCCCTCCGCGCCCGTTCCTACGCCGTGTATCCCACCACCGTTGTCCTACCATTGGCTGTGTATGTCATCCCACACTTCCTTTCATGTCTACACTATAAAGTTTATGTCCCGACTATTCCATTGATCAATGTGTCGATGGCTGCTGCACTGGGGCCTTTGGGGTACCCTCCCTCCACCACAACCCTGCACATTTAATCGTCGATGTAGGGGGGGGGGACAGGGCTGCACATTTACACAACAAACAGACCAGCCTACTGAATCATGGAGAGTGTTTATTTAAGTGTCATAATGGAGATAAGACAAAACAAGCGGCTCCCCCCCCCCCCCCCCCGGTTGCGTTGCTTGTAATAGGCCAGTAATAGCAGTCAAAAGAACCCTTGTCGTGTGAGTGCGTCATGATATCACACGTCTGCGAAGTCAAATAAACATCTATTTTAAATGTAGGAATAGAGTTTATGAAATGATTTTGTTTTGAAAGTTGAATGATGTTATGCTCGAGGTTTTAAGTTCCCGTGTGCCTTTTCATCCAACTGACTGAACTAAACCCGTGTAGACACCATCGTCCAAGGCCACGGATTAACATGGCGTACTGAGAGATCAACGTCCTCCAACTTAATGGCGTAGGAGGATGGCGGACTGGGCTAGCTAACCCGGGCGGCATTTTTTAAATATTTTTTTTTTATTGAGGGGCTGTGTAGCATTTTCGGCCAACTGTTGAGTTTTTGTTCTTGGGAGGGGTGGCGAAAATCTTGCCCCCCCCCCCCCCCGGCGGCACTAACTGTGACTAACTCTAGCTACGCCAACCCTGTCTGTTAGATATTTTAAGGGCTCACCGACCTAGGGTATTTTACAAAGTTGATAGAATAAAAGCAGTGTCACGAAAAGGCATGACATACATTTTTGAATGGAAGGTTACAACCCAATGTCTTAACGAAAGAAATGTTCATTTAGAATAGGGCAAACGCCGATAAGAGAAGTTGAAACGCCATGTTCTGAGTTTTTAAAAAATCAACCAATCAATCCCTTAAGCTTTTATACAATGGGTTTAGGTGCGGTCATAATCTTGCAGGAAATACGATCTCGTCAGTTCTAAAGATTGTACAACCGACGATAATCTTGAATTAAATTGTGTTGGGTTACTCCTATAGCGAAAAGCCTATTAAAAAAAAAGTTTTAATTTACTGCATGTTGTCACGGGATTAACTCGGAAAAAAAAAAACCCCAGTGAAACGAAACGACAAAGTAGATAGCTTGTGATGAACTTAGCCGAAGGGCCGGAAGAGGGCTGCCTAGAGACCGGACCAGTCCGCCAAGTGGTATAAATGTAAATATAAACAATAAGTGTGGTGACAAAGACGTTTCAACAGGATATAAATAAGGTCACGTGGATCAGTCCGTTTCACGCGATGAAGACATTCTGGCTAAACAAACCCAGTAGCTTGAAGAACCTCAAGTCAGTACGTTTGGTTTGTACTGCTTTCATTTGCTTCTATAATCAATGGTCTGTGAAGAGAGACTCGGGCGGAATTTTCCACAACATAGACATCCATACTTCCTAGTACACTGTCACTGGTCCCCTCTCAAGAACACCTACCGTTTTCCTATCATTAGGAATCGATTTTTCTAGTATATTTTTAGACGCGTAAATGCAAATCGTAGGCTGGATATGATATTGTTTAGAACAATTAAAGCGACGAGGCTCTTGATTATTGGCAGAGTCGTCGTCGTCTCACGGTTGGGATGGGGGGGGGGTAGGGATAAGTGTCAAATTTGAATCATCCTCATCCTCATGTCCCTCAGTCCTTGGACCGTTGGGGCGCCACAGATGACATGTGAACCATCCTCCTCCACTCCTCTCTGTCTTCAGCACTACGCGCTGCATCGCCCAGTGTTTGTCCTGTCCACTCTTTGATGTTCTCCTCCCATCTTTTTCTTTGTCTTCCTCTTCTTCTCCCTCCTCTTATGGTGTCCTGCAATATTTCTTTGGCAAGCCCTTGTTTCCTTGTTACGTGGCCGTACCATTGTATACAGGCGGCATAACAAAAAAGTGGCAAGGGGGTCACAAAAGTCACGTGGCCGCTTTGATTTAAGGACATTGCTAGAGTGCGTGGATAAATAGCAAAACAATTTCATTCGGACCTTGCTGGACCACTTTTTGGTGGCCCACCTTTTCGATACACCTGGTTTGTGCGACATCAGTTTTTGTATATCTGGCCAGAGCATCCCAGAATCGAGTGATGCCCTGTCAGTTTTGACGTTCCGAGTCCCCTTTATCTCACCCCCCCCCCCATGGAGTCACGTCAACGTGGGGCGTCATTATGACTTCATCTTGGAGGACCCCCCAAACAGTCAACTTGCAGTAGCTGGTTTGAATGTTTCATGTCCACAATTGTTTGGGACATTATCCGTGTCAAGCACTGAATTTTGAGGAGACTTTGGCTTACACAAACTTCAATTGAATAGTCATTTTACTTGCTTCAAAAGCAACATTTGATTTCATCCATTAATTAAAGGGGAGATGGACATTTTTTTCTCAAATCAAAATCAGTACACTTAAAAATTATATCAACCTTAAATCAAGGACATTTAATTTTTTCCAAATTAAAACATAGACATTGAAAATTGTCCAGATTAAAACAAGGACAGTTAAAATTGTCCAAATTAAAACATAGACATTGAAAATTATCCAAATTAAAACAAGGACAGTTAAAATTGTCCAAATTAAAGCAAGGACAGTTAAAATTGTCCAAATTAAAGCAAGGGCAGTTAAAATTGTCCAAATTAAAACAAGGACAGTTAAAATTGTCCAAATTAAAACAAGGACAAAAAAATTGTCCAAATTAAAACTAGGACAGTTAAAATTGTCCAAAGTAAAACGAGGACAGTTAAAATTATCCAAAGTAAAACAAGGACAGTTAAAATTATCCAAAGTAAAACAAGGACAGTTAAAATTGTCCAAATTAAAACAAGGACAGTTAAAATTATCCAATTAAAACAAGGGCAGTTAAAATTATCCAAAGTAAAACAAGGACAGTTAAAATCGTTATTCGTCATGATTGTCCAAAATTAATTACTTGCTATGACACGGAGAGCTCTTCTGTCAGTGAGGCGTTCTTTTGGTAGCCAAAGTACATGTTCGTGAAGCCAATTTGGAATAATTATATTTCTTGTAATTGTGTTATTTAGTTATGCCGGCCTGGCGAAGGGAGATCTCCAGCGTGTCGCTTCGCGGCCCGATACTCGGGCTTAGGGTGGGGTGCTTGTGTGGCATAAAGAGCTTGGTACTAGCTCGACGGCTCGTTGACGCCGTTTCCTAAGGTTCATTTTCAGTTATGCCTGGATATCAATAATATGCTCCCTCTTTTGATACATTTCAAATTTGAAACAAATACAATTGTAGTCTTTAACTGTGCTGGTTTCAGCTCACCACAAACCAGGACAACGATCTAAAACCCAGAATTGTCTTGATTGAAAGCAGTACAAAGGGTCACCTCACTTTATAGCCGATGGGAGGGCGTACACAATGACCTGTGACTATATGTGCCGAGTGTTAATGTGTGCATTTGTGGCTCCTGTGTCTATCGGGGCCTGGGCTTAATGCGACTGACTACCCCCCTCCCCATATTCGATCGAGCCTTCTCACTTCCTGTGTTTAATAATCTTTCAAATGCCAGGCTCGTGTGTATAACCTCCACACCATTGAATTAAAAGTTATAATTTAACGAGGTGTTACATCTTTGAATGTGAAGGTCCGTTTCCTGCATGGGCAGTCACTTCCACCACGATGCGATCAAGCCAACGTGAAGAGAACCAGAAGACCTAATTAAAATGAAATGTGCACGAGAAGTAAATTGAAAAAAAATAAAATAAAATAACAGTTAATACTAGAAAAAGGAGTGATTTTTACATAAAATTGCTGAAAACTACTGGGTAAATGAGAGTTTAGAGCGCTACACTATAACTTTTGTTTTACTCAAGATTCAATTTGACGAGACCTATGGTTCTCAACCTTCCTAATGCCGCGACCCTTTAATACAGTTCCTTGTGTTTTGGTGACCCCCAACCATAAAATTGCAATGTTGCTACTACATAAGTAGGTCTTAGCATGTAAGGGTCGTTCGACCCCCGAATGTGTCGCGACCCACGCGTTGAAAGCCGCTGGACTAGAATTTTTTTCCCAAGTAAAATGTTAATTTTAGTATTACTTTGCGTTTTCAATTGGAAAATAAATCGAGGACTGCCAATGTTCCTAAGCGTTGAGTGCTAAACTCTTATATTTCTACCAGTTGTGGCAGTCCGATGTGACGTCATTTTTTTTTTTTGGAAGTCTTTGACCTGGAACATACGTCTGATTGGACGTTACAGTTTGGAGTCGTTGACCAATGTGACGTTATGTGTCGGAGTTGTTGTCGTGAACTTAAAATCTCGAACTAGACCTTCGTGTTAAGTCTATGAGCCACTATGGAAAAAAGAATTGATGGTTTTTAGATATATTTATTTTTATGTTACATATGACAGCAGAAGCGACCCATTGACAAGTCTTGTAATGACCTTCGTAATAGGTTAGGAAATAACTTAAGTTCTTAAAGTTCTTGAAGTTGAAGTGCTCAACAGAGAGAAGTACGTGTGTGTGTGTGTGGGGGGGGGGGTTGGAAAGGTCGATGATTGATAACCTGTTAGTCTTATGGCACTGTTAATAATAAATAAGCTCTCTATCTGTTAGTATTTCTATCCATAGGTTCATTAATATATAAAACTTCAAAAATACCATGTATGTTACATCCAACATGCTGGTGACTCTATCTGTTAGTATTTCTATCCATAGGTTCATTAATATATAAAACTTCAAAAATACCATGTATGTTACATCCAACATGCTGGTGAGAATAACTACAGTTTATTTATCTTATAAATCTGCGAACATTTTTTTTGTAACGTTGTTTACTCTGTAAACTATTGGTGAGAGATTATAGATCTTTGTGACACGCTGTACGCGATTAAACCGATTAACTTTCACATGTCGTCATGCGGAAGTTTTTAAGATATCTGCACATCTTGATTCTGTTTTTGTGTTATTTCCCATTACCTAAAATATATGTAGCTATACACACACATATATATATACAGATATATCAAAGGTTAATATGATTGAAAGTGTTTAGTCATACAATTATTCAAGATTAAATCAAACTATATTTTGACCACCTCTCTCTCTCTCTTTCTCTCTCTCTCTCTCTCTCTCTCTCTCTCTCTCTCTCTATATATTTTTCTTTATATACTTTTTTATACATGATTCTAGGTTCATATATATTCTCTCTCTCTCTCTCTCTCTCTCTCTCTCTCTCTCTCTCTCTCTCTCTCTCTCTCTCTCTCTCTCTCTCTCTCTCTATATATATATATATATATATATATATATATATATATATATATATATATATACATTTTGATTTTAGTTGTTGTATGGCTTGTTATTTGCGTGAAAGAAATGAATCAGTTGGGGAAAAAAAAATGATACGGTACAGCACGGGGAAAGTTAAATATAGAGGGGAGACAACTTGTGATGCACGTGCGTTAATCTTTCAGCTAGATGGCGTTTAGAATGTGTATATAATTAGAAGGGGTGTAGAAGGTGAACAGGTAAGCCAGGTATAGTGGCACTTTTGTCTGCTAAAACTGGGACCAGAAATCGCGCTGGTGGATTTCTACGTCGCCTCTTTTCAAGCGCTTCACCAATTAGGCTAAGTTTGATACATGTCAGTGTGCGCACGTTCGGCTGAGATGTGAGCAGTCACGTGGGCTTACAGAGCGTGAGCGCCACTATTCAGGATCCATGCATGAGTTGTGGGGGGTTGGGGTGGGGTAGTTCATAAAACTTTAGTGCGTGGGTCGCGTAAACATGTGTGTGGGCACTGCTTGTGGTAGGTTCAAAGATTCACCAACTAATCTTTGACACCTGTTACTGTTGTGTGAAGAAAATACTGTTGTGTTTTTAGGGGGAAAAAATGGTCAAGCTATAATTTCCTGCCTGTTTACCCCTTCCCTCCCGCATCCTCTGTTTAGAAATACATTTTTAAAAAAATGACAACGACACATATTAAGCAATTGTAAAAAATGAAGAAGATACAAACTTGTCCTCTTGTGTAAGATCTCCAGGCCACACTGCACTTTGCCTCAAATCGATATACAGTTGATCATGGACACACCCTTAATAAAAAAAAAGAGTTTTTTTTGTTTTATTTTATATACATACATGCTGTACACAGTAAGATCTCTCTACCGCGTTGGCCGCAAGTCTGGCCATGATATTCAAAGGACGTAAACGGGGCAGTCCCGTACTTCTAGTGTTTGTTTTCAAAGAGTTTGTGGGGCGATGAGATCTAATCATATATATGTTATATATATATATAAAATATATGAGTCGTTTAAAATGTCTTGAAAACACAGCTTTATCTAAATGGTCATTGGCGTTTCGTTGAAAAAGCATGTGACCGGGTACCCGAGTCGCCGTGAACCCGTTGTATCCTATCTTAATGGGCTGCTCTTGGGTTGTTGTTTTGTTTGTTTGTTTGTTTTTTTTTTTGTTTTTTTTCGTTTTCGTGATGTTACTAAATTTAGAAGAAATTTTCTTAACACCATAACAGGGAAGCTTAGAACGCTTGAATGGAACTCACTATCTATCACAATCTGGACGGCAGTGAACCAGGATGGAAGTTCGACCCGATTCACATTGGGATGTGCACATTAGCTAGCCGCCACCAGTTTCCAATACGTAGTTGCAATGATTTAATAAATGAAATACGTCATGGAGATGGAAATGTTAAATTGGATGACGCAATGGTTTGGGGGGTGGGGGGAATCCTCCTTCGGTTTAGTATTAAGACTTTGTTCGGAATAATAAACAAATAGTGACGTCATTCACTTCTTTTTCTTTATCTCTCTCTCTCTCTCTATTTGCGTAATAATTCCATTTTTCCGGCTTCGAAATCCAATTTATCTGAACGTTTCTGGGGAAAAAAAGTATGATTGAATAATATATAACAAGTACCTTAAAAAGCGAACCAAAAAAATCAAATTGTATCGTCTGCGGAGGTCGGTTAAACATAAAACTGATTTGTGGTATATCAAGATATGGCACATACAACTTTTTTTGTTTAAAATTGCGCGTAAAAATAAGTCTCTATATGGGGCAATACCTCAATACGTTTGTTGAGATTTTTCTGGAGTGGGATAAGTTCATCTTATAACCCCAACTCCTAGAAAACGGGAAGTCAATACAAGAGTGGCGCACCGTGTCATCAGAGCCTCACGCCTCCAGTCACCGGTGGGAGTGTGCGTCAAAGTGAAACAGTCGTCAGGGCGTCCCCGTGATTGTCATGGGGTGGGTTAGTGGCAGCCCAAACCTTTCTTTTGTACAGATCCAGTCATTTATCGTTAACCTTATTATCCTACAACTCTATCCAGCCGGGCGATGATGCATGCATCGCTCAGTGGCGTGCCTTGAATAAATGCTGCGCCGGGGACCTACTCTCATTAGCGCGCCCCCCTCTTACGTACGCACCCATGATTTATATAATGTTACACATATTTTACCCCAAAAGTGCCGCCTGGGGTGTCCCCCCCCCCTTGTCACCCATGGGGACGCCACTGAGATGATATTACATCAGTGGTTCTCAACCTTTCTAGTGCCGCGACCCCTTAATACTGTTTCTCGTGTCGTGGCGACCCCCAAGCCACACAATTATTTTCGTTGCTACTAGCTGTAAGGATATATGTTTTCAGATGGACTTAGGCGACCCCTGGAAAAGGGTCCCGCGACCCCCAGGTTGAGAACCGCTGATATACATCATAAACTTGCCAAACGTTGAAGTAATATTTGTTGTACACAGAGTGCAAACTGAGCCCAGGGTAAAGTAGTGTGAGCTGTTGACGCAAGCGCTGTAATTTTGCAATGATGACACCACTTTTTGTGTGTGACTCACCGGTGCATCTAATTGATAGCACACAGTTCAAGTTAAAACTAATCGGACGGATGCACGAGTCTTAATGAGGAGACGGGGAGTCACGACCAGTGTCCCGTCTTAACACACGACTTTAGTACTGTCCAAGCACACGGCCTTTCTACTTATGAGCACACAAACTTTGTACTTATAAGCACACAAACTTTGTACTTATAAGCACACTACCTTTCTACTTATAAGCACACAAACTTTGTACTTATAAGCACACAAACTTTGTACTTATAAGCACACAAACTTTGTACTTATAAGCACACAAACTTTCTACTTATGAGCACACAAACTTTGTACTTATAAGCACACAAACTTTGTACTTAAAAGCACACAAACTTTGTACTTATAAGCACACAAACTTTGTACTGTCTTAGCACATGACGTTTATACCGTTCACGCACACGGCATTTGAACTTTCTAAACACATTGCTATTGGGCAGCACATGACTAAACACATGGCTATTGGACTGCACATGACTAAACACATAGCTATTGGACAGCACATGACTAAACACATGGCTATTGGACAGCACATGGCTAAACACGTGGCTATTGGACAGCACATGACTAAACACATGGCTATTCGACAGCACATGATTAAACACATGGCTATTGGACAGCACATGACTAAACACATGGCTTTGGACTGCACATGAGACTAAATACATGGTTTTTGGACTTCACATGAGACTAAACACATGGCTTTTGGACTGCACATGACTAAACACTTACATTTTTTCTGACAGTGTTTCATCGCCTACTGTTTACCTACCGTTTTAGATACTTACCTCAAAATAGCGGGGGTGAAGTTCAGGTGGGTAGGTAGAATCGCCTACATTTTCAACTGTATGTTAGTGGTTCGACTTGTTTATTTAACAGGGATGGACCAAAAAAAAAAAAAGAAAGTGTTGCTTCATTTCTTTCCCTGGATTTAACTTTTACAAATGAGTGCATTTCCTGGGCTTGCAAAATTGACAAAATGTCATTTCTGTGGCTAATGCAAGTAAACTGTTACAACTGATCCATGTTAGGGCCTAATGTCTGATCCATGTTAGGTTAATATTATTGATCCATGGTAGGGCCTAACTACTAATCCCTGTTAGGGCCTACCCTAATGGTTGTAATGAAATAATTCACCACTCAAGGTTTACCATAACACTGTATGCTCCAACTTAGCCGACCGTGCTCTATTTTAAACAAATCCAACAATACAAAGGCCCCATTAGTACTTTGAACCGCAGTGTCTTAGCTGAGGTTTGATTAAGTGTGTGGGGCTATGAAGGCCATAGGTATTATTATGTGTCGTGTCACATGACATGTTAGAGTTCCAAACCAGTCGCTCTTAAAAAAAAAAAAAAAAATGAAGTTGGTGGGGCTATGAAGTCCATAGGTATTATTATGTGTCGTGTCACATGAAATGTTATAGTTCCAAACCAGGCGCTCTTAAAAAAAAAAAAAAAAATGAAGAGGGCACACTAACGCCTCTCACCCGGCTTGAGCCATTAGCATCATTACCATCATTTATTGTGTTGGCACCAACGTCCAGGAAATTGAACTGTTTTTGTTTTGTACCTTCATCATTGTCACTGCAGCCTGTGGTCGGGCCGATGCCCTGCTTCATCACAAACTTTCCACTGGACCGATACACGACCTTTCGTCTCCATGCACGGACCCCCCCACCTGATGTGTTATTGATCTTGCCACCGATATTTCAGTGTGTTGAGTGAATAGGGTGTTAACATCTATGCATCCGGATCATCTCATAGCAATTAACGTTGCTCTCTGCAACAACATGGTCCTATTAATATTCAATTTAAAAAAAAAAGAAAGAAAACAAACGTAAAAAAACGTATCCAGGATCCCCTGACTCCATAGGAGGGTGACTCTAATGAGGGTGACTCTAATGAGGGTGACTCTAATGAGGGTGACTCTAATGAGCAGAGCCAGTTCGTCTGATTGCGGACAGACTTTGTATCACTGTAAGCTATTTCTGGCACCTCTAGGTCTATTCCTACACCTGATTTGGGCTCCAGACCCAGCCCTGTCTACGCGTGTCAGCAAGGCTTCTCCCTACACATCCTCTGGTGTGCCAGTGCTTGTGTGATCATTAGGCCATGGTCATTTAAGGTTACGTTGGTCAACACAAGCAGCACATTTACCTTTCCAGAGGTTCACTTCATACCGCCTTTTATTTATTCGGAAACAACCATTTGTCTGACCCCGCTTTCGAATCAGGATATGACGGGGTTTTTTTTTTTAAAAGGTTTAGAATAACATTTACAATGAGTGATTAAAATTTAAAAAAAAAATTATTTCGGAATAGTAAACTAGAACATCCAAATAAAGCGAAAAATAGCAAAGTCAGAGACGTAAACAATGAGATTGTGCAAGAGGTACTGCTATGTGTTATATACCGAAAGTGTTCCCAAAGAGTTCACCGCTGTGCCAGCCACGAGAAGCCGCGGCTTCCTCACAAGGGCGCTAGGAAATATTAGAACATTTTCAAAAGTGTATGACAGGGCGTAACATCTAGGGAAACCTGGTTCAAACTGGGCAGCTCACTAAGTAATAACAGTTTGCAGAAGCCTCTGAAAATTGTTACTAGATCTTTGTGATCTAAAATACTGTTTTTATTATTTTTATATAACCATTTTGATTATAGTATCAAGTATTTCACATTCTCCTTGTTCAAATTGTGTATAGGGTGCCTTGAGGGAAAAAAATGGACCCGGCGAAGGCTCCCGGCATCGACACAGTTTGGGAACCAATGCATTAGGTCATTATATCCAAGGCCATGTAAAATACAAGCCCTGAAATTTGGTTGCTCTATTGACCACAATAAGAATTTAGGAGCGCTTCACGGGTGTACTTAGTTACGTCTCAAATAACCAAGACCAATGACATCAAGGCTGTTGCTTTCTTCAACTCTCGTACATACGGCCGTGTTGTTTGCTTTCTTCAACTCTCGTACATACGGCCGTGTTGTTTGCTTTCTTGAACTCTCGTACATATGATCGTGTTGTTTGCTTTCTTCAACTCTCGTACATACGGCCGTGTTGTTTGCTTTCTTGAACTCTCGTACATACGGCCGTGTTGTTTGCTTTCTTCAACTCTCCTACATACGGCCGTGTTGTTTGCTTTCTTCAACTCTCGTACATACGGTCGCGTTGTTAGCTTTCTTCAACTCTCGTACATACGGCCGTGTTGTTTGCTTTCTTCAACTCTCGTACATACGGCTGTGTTGTTTGCCCCCAATCATTAAAACACCTGTGTTCATTCCAACATTAAAATATCGTCATAACATTGTAAAGGCGCAAGGGGGGGGGGTGGGTGGGTGGAGCACAATGGGCTCGAATAAACTGTTCGAAAAACAATGTGTCGCGAAGTTGGGTTTAAAAAAAAAATAAACCGAACCGGACATTATAAACGAAAAAGTGAGGTGAACAAATATCTTGACCGAGGCCGTCATTATACTTTTCGCTGGCGGTGCACATCTACAATTCAAGATGTAACCATTTCACGTGTTTATTTCTTTGTATGTCTATAGATCGTCATATCAGTCCGTTTTTTTTTTTTTGGTGTGTACTTTATCTATTCTGTATACTCTGTACTTTACGTGTTTGCGTGTCAAAAACATGAGTGAATGATTCCCACCCAGGACCGGTGACAGTATTGGCAGTATTACATAAAATAATGGCGGTCACACACAATGCAATTTTGGGAGGTTTTGACTACAACGAAATCTGTGGTGGAGACTCTTGATAAATTACAAAAATGTATGAAAGCTGCATCATTCTCTGTGGCTGGAGTAGAAAGCACAATCTCCAGACATAATATGCCGTTTTCAGTGATTCCCCGAAAAATGTATCAGGAGCAGGGATAGATGTGTGGAGTTTATGGTGCTAGCAGTAAAAATCCAAGTTGGTTATAATGATGGTTATAATGATTGTCTACAAATGCCTGTGTTGGGCAGACTATATAAAAACATTTAACATAATGTGTCCGTGTTGCTACATATGGACTGGAAGGGTAGGGAATGGCCACGTCAGTCCATGAAGCATCGGGTTTGCTAATCGCGAAGTTATTTAAGAAACACCCCAATTGGATTCATTCAGATTGAGTATGATCTCACCGGGAGCGGAACATTTTCAAGTAGCTGCTTCTGATGTACTCACAATTTTTGTCGTTGTTTGTGGTGTTGGTGGTGTTGTTGTTGCGAATCTCAAAGTATTGTCCACCATTGTTCATATTCTCTTATAGTTTTAGATGTTGTTGACATGTCTACACTATACTAACATATGCGCTAGATTCATTGCTTTCTCACCTGTGGCATTTCCAGGGGAAATATAATATATACCACGTGGTTATGTACATATTTGGGTAATTATAATTGGTATTTCAGTGATGGTAAACAGCCTTGAGAATATACACATTAATGCGCAGGAAGATGCCCCAGCATTGTGGGAGGGAAGGGAGGGCATTCTGGTTGATGGCCACTGATCATCGTCCAGGTTTGCTTTTTACAATGCCTATTGTTGAGATGAGCGACGTTTATCTCTGTTGGAATGTGTTTGTAAACACGGGGACTTATCAACACACCAGTGGCGGATATCTAAAGTTGATGTTGTGATGACCAGTTGTCGCCTCTGCGCGTGGTCAAGGGCACTCAGTCCAGAACTCCGGCTCGTCCCAGTGTATCTTCAATGTCCAGGCAGATAAAAAGGTTATTGACCTCGTTTGCTCCTCTGGGCAGACGGCCCAAACGTGTATAATCGATGTGAAAGCTTTCTATCGCCCCAATAACTTTTGGTTGCGCCTTTATGAGATTGATATCGATCGGATGACTTTGGCGGACCAAACAAGACCAAAAATGGTTGTGAATTTATGTCAGTACGGGGATTGTCAAAACTATCAGAGTTAAACACTGTATGGACTTTAGAATAGAACAGACTATATTCTTATCCAATGTAACATTGGCCTGCACAATGAGTAGCCATCAAAAGAGGGCCTTTGCATCGTAATGTTTCAATGGCATACGATACTGAATTGATCGCTGATCTGACCCCCCGGACCCTTGACCAATGTCTTATGTAGTGCATAGAAATGTATCGTGTTGTATACATTACTAAGTCGTGTCAATCGATTCACTGCGTGCTCATGTAAAGACACGGTGCTGTGTCGGGGGCCGTGTTCCTAATGTGGCTGGACACAGCAACCCGACCACCGAGAACTGACCTGGCTCGATGATTATATCAAACGTCCCATAGAATCAATAAATGTACCCTTGTATGAATTTTGAAGAGCCCGCATCACTTCTGTCTTTAGGTGGGCCAATAACAAATCGGGGTGGGGAGTGGGTGGGAGGGCAAAAGAAGCGTAGTCAAGGGAGATGAGCGATTAAACGTACCAGGTCAGTGGTTTCCGTCAAGTTTAGTGGGGCACCAAAATATGAATAACACAATTTGTCTCGAACACATCTTTTAAAATGGTTAAAGCGTGTCTCTAGTGCGACCATAGACACAACGAGACGGCTTTTAAAGTAGATATAGAGCTCCATTTAGTGCTACCATAGAAACAACGAGACGGCTTTTAAAGCAGATATAGAGCTCCATTTAGCGCGACCATAGACACAACGAGACGGCTTTTAAAGTAGATATAGAGCTCCATTTAGCGCGACCATAGACACAACGAGACGGCTTTTAAAGTAGATATAGAGCTCCATTTAGCGCGACCATAGACACAACGAGACGGCTTTTAAAGTAGATATAGAGCTCTATTTCAAATGTTTTTAAAATGTAGCTAATCTGCATACAGAACTATATTTCGACCCAGTAACGCATTGGAGATTGGTTGCAGAAGGTAATGCGATCTCGTCGGGGAAATACTTATAAGTGAAGGTAGGAAAAGGATTCACCCGGACACCCCCCCCCCCTTTACACCGCCTCAACGCACCGCCTGCACACTTGTAATTTTGTTAAGGGAACCGTTGGAAAATCCCGAAAAGATGTCTTCAAAAATGAATGATGCGCCTCATGATTCTGCCCGTTGAATTTATTGAAAAATTGTTTGCCATGGTGCCATTGTGTTTGGTTTGTTTACACATGGTCATCTTTGCTCCATTGTGAGCGAATCTTGTAGATTTGTTCCCGGTGATCCTAAATACAGGAGAATAAAATAGTTGGGCTATTTTTCTGTAGTTTTATTAGCACATCATCACACTGGTTGTTCATTTTATTTGCAAGGAATGACTCGTGGGAAGAAATGTTTATGAAAATCAAGGATGTGGTCCCCGTCGTCAAGGTTTGGGATCCATCTTTGGAAGCCTATTGATTCACTAGTCTCCTGGCACCCCGCCACTTGACGCCGAAATGCGGCTGTTATTTCCATTCGTGTATTGGAGCGGTGCTCGTGCTGTTGACACCACACCATTTCAGTGATGGCTGAGAGGCGTGCCTCTGAATCTCTCACATGTGTGGCGCTATCATTCCGCATCATTTTAATGTATTCGCTAATTTTTAAACTGGTCAACCGTCTACTCTTTACATTATCTTTAATTTGAAATTGGACACTGGTGGATTCCAGAGATTGGGGATAAAGTAGCTTAAGATTACGCGCGTATGGGGCTATAATGTATAGCTACATACGATTTGTGTTGCCAGGAGGCCAAATGGTGTACTTATCCTGCAATAAATCTAGTGCTAATGAGGCAATTATGAGACTAAAAGACAGAATACAGCGAGCAACAGGCAAGCTGTATCATAATTATAAGAGCTCAACTTTGATTTCTTGCGTTGGATGTACGATAATTTAATGACATCCCAGTTTGTACGGCGTATAAAATATAGATATTAGCTATTTGAGCCAAATTTTGGCAGTCGTCCATACCTGGGTGCATGGGGTCGTCTTGTTCACGGCCTTCAGTCCGGTGATTGGCTGAGGTTTGTACATTTCAATACCGGTGACACCAACAGGTGGCGGTGACGCCTTGTACTCAGAAACTTAGTTTTAAGCCACATGTGGGTACATACGGTACTGTAAATGTCCATACACTAATACTTCACTTTACAGAAAAAAATAAAAATAATAATAAATCGTTGACGCTTGAGTTCACCGACGAGTATCGCTCGAAAAGTAACGAAAGCCCAAATAGCGTAACGTGGGTATCAATGGATCGATAAGTATGACAAATTTATGTGCAAGGAAACGTAACAATTATTGACATCAACATAAATGAGAATATAGCCTCAAAGAAATCCAATTGAAGCCACCTTGAACACTGATCACCAGCCATGTATGCCTTTCATTACTATGCATGGTCACGCTGGCATGGCTTATCTGTACATCATGGAAACGTCTCCAGAGACCTTCCTCTGCAACCTGCCGCCCGTTCATAGAAACAGGTGGCTGCCGTGGGACTTACCCAATCGTGACGAGACGACTTTCTGGCACTAGCAATTTTAACGGTGATCTGGCCATTCTTCCTTCTAGCGCTTCGAAGCTCGGACTCGGTCTGCTTGCTCAGATAAATACCAGAAAGCTATGCGGTCGTTTTTAAATCGTGTATACTAATCCTTTAAAAGTTTCCAACAAAACGAGAACTGTAAAGGCTGACGTCAGGCCACTGGCGTAACAAAGGTGAGTTCCGCCCGGGGATTGCCGGGAACTTTGTTGCCATTTCCTCAAGAAAAAAAACAACAACTCAACTGTTGGCCGACAATGGCCCCGTAAATAAGAAAGTAATACCCCTCCGCACCCCTTCCTACACCACTGTCCGGCCAATTTCTAACTTTTGTAACCTCTGGTTATGGTAACCTCACACATCCTCTGGTTATGATAACCTCACACAACCTCTGGTTATGGTAACCTCACACATCCTCTGGTTATGGTAACCTCACACAACCTCTGGTTATGGTAACCTCACACATCCTCTGGTTATGATAACCTCACACAACCTCTGGTTATGGTAACCTCACACAACCTCTGGTTATGGTAACCTCACACATCCTCTGGTTATGGTAACCTCACACAACCTCTGGTTATGGTAACCTCACACAACCTCTGGTTATGATAACCTCACACAACCTCTGGTTATGGTAACCTCACACATCCTCTGGTTATGGTAACCTCACACATCCTCTGGTTATGGTAACCTCACACAACCTCTGGTTATGGTAACCTCACACAACCTCTGGTTATGATAACCTCACACAACCTCTGGTTATGATAACCTCACACAACCTCTGGTTATGGTAACCTCACACAACCTCTGGTTATGGTAACCTCACACAACCTCTGGTTATGATAACCTCACACAACCTCTGGTTATGATAACCTCACACAACCTCTGGTTATGATAACCTCACACATCCACCGGCTATGGTAACCTCACACATCCACCGGCTATGATAACCTCTCACGACCACTGAGTACTGGCTATGATAACCTCACACAACCTCTGGTTATGATAACCTCACACATCCTCTGGTTATGGTAACCTCACACATCCTCTGGTTATGGTAACCTCACACAACCTCTGGTTATGGTAACCTCACACAACCTCTGGTTATGATAACCTCACACAACCTCTGGTTATGATAACCTCACACAACCTCTGGTTATGGTAACCTCACACAACCTCTGGTTATGGTAACCTCACACAACCTCTGGTTATGATAACCTCACACAACCTCTGGTTATGATAACCTCACACAACCTCTGGTTATGATAACCTCACACATCCACCGGCTATGGTAACCTCACACATCCACCGGCTATGGTAACCTCACACATCCACCAGCTATGATAACCTCTCACGACCACTGAGTACTGGCTATGATAACCTCTCTCAACCAGTGAGTACTGGCTATGATAACCTCAAGCAACCACTGAGTACTGGCTATGATAACCTCAATCAACCACCGGCTATGATAACCCTAACTGGCACACAGCTGTGGTCTTGATAACATCCGCCCAACCCCAATCGACCCCACTGATGACATAACCCTATAGCCACATCTCTATCCTCCAGAGAGAGGCGGCACGTGCCCAGCAGTAATATCACATCCCGTGTTGTTTTATCCTACCTGACGGCCTCTAGTGTTTCACACAGTGTAAACACCAAATTAAAACAGCATAAGAACCCCCCCCCCCCCTCCCTAAACCTGTTGCCGTTTCTCTCTATATTTCTTAATTTTCCTGTCCTAAAAATAAAATTGAGCGTATATCACATCAGAACCTAGCCATTAGGCCACGAGAAAAGCAGGTGTGTATAACATATAACAAGTTATTGGCAAACTTTATGAATGTTTAACTGATACTTACTTGGGACACTGAACTTGACCATTGGAATGAATCGAAAAACTGGGGTGGAGGAGGGGGTAGTAAGAGGTTTTCCAACTATAAAATTACAGACAAATATTCTAAATCTGCACAACTTTTTTTTTAGGGAGAATCATTTTTTCACTATCACAGTCTTAAAATAATAAACTTATGGAGATAAAACAAAAATACTGAGATATTCGTAGCACTCGCTATGTAATGTCTGTGTATGACTGTTATATGACAATGAAGTTTCAGGCTATGTTTAAGATTGTAGGAAAAATAAGTCCCAGGAAATAAAGTCACAGGTCACAGCAATAATAGTCACGGAAAAAACTAATAAACTAGCCAATGTACCCGACGTAACCCTGGACTCTCTCCTGATCCCGGTAGTATCCCAATGCTTGTGGGTTCTCAATTTCAATATCCCGATCCAATTAGAATCCCATTCCCATGGGACGACTGACCCCATTAGGATACCAATCCCGATTGGGATCCAGTTTCCAAATGGGACCCATTGTGATCTCGATCCCAATCCCGTTTTAAAATGGGACCCATTGGGATTCCAAACTGTTGGGATTCTGACCCGTTGAGATCCAAACCCGTTGGGATCTCAATGCCATTGGGAACCTTTTTCCAAATTGAATACCATATCACAATGGGATCCCGACTGCTGTGGGACCCGCACCTAATTTCGATCCTTGAGGGTTTCCGATTTCGTTTGATCCCAATCCCAGTGAAATCCCAATACCGGTGGGTTCCCGATTCTGTAGGTTCCCGTTTCCCGGTGGGGTCCTCTTCTATCATGGGATCCCATTTGCCCTATTTGATCTCATTACTCGATGGGATCCCGTTACCGGTGGGTTCCAGTTTACTCGTTTCCTTTTAGGATCCTGTTCCTCCTTGGGATTTTTTTTATGCCTATGTTGAACAAACAAACAAACATTCACCTTTATATATGTATAGATATGATGTGATATAATATGATGTGATAACTAAGAATAATAAAGTAAATATTTCTGTGACTTTTCCTGTGACTTTTTTTGCACTCACCATGTTTAAACGTTGTTTTATTGTATAGCATTCTCTTCAGTGTTTCAAGCAAGTAAGAAATCACAAATGTTGAGATATTATGTTTTGTTTCACTTCAAACAAGTGTTTTACAAGCTTTTATTTTTGGACATACTAAAGTTATTACGGACATTTCGACGTAAAATTATATCTATTTTTTTTAACGTAATGTCCGCAAATACATGGACGGTTGGCAAAAATGGCAACACCTGGTGGTAAGCTACTGGCTGTAGCATCTATAAAGTCTTGGGTAGGCTCCAAAGTTTTCTTTCCTAAGCTTGAATGAATGCACAAGTAAGATTTTGTTCTTTTGTATGTTCACCTTCTTCTCTCCCTCTTTGAGTAACTTGACTATAGGGACCGGAGCCTCTGCACACCAATAATGTTCTTTTGTCAGTGTCTTTGCCACTATGGCCCCCAATCCCATGGAGCTCCTTTGATGAGAAGTTTCAAGCCTTTAAAATGATCAAGTGCTTTGGGATGGTGTCAGCATTGCTTCTCTAATGGTCTTGCTAATCATCATCTTAGCTCTGTGGGAGCAGCTATCAGGAGTTGGCCCTTTTCCCTTTTGCGAGGGGCCTGCTACTTGACAGTATAAATGATTTTGGAATTATGAATCAATAGAGACATTCACATTATGTTTAAGCTATTGATTTAAGCAGCCCACTTTGTTGACACCCGTGAACATAGTTGCAATGAAAATATCACTGGGGATTAAAATGCACATAGGTATGCAGCAGTTTTTATTTTTCTCAGATGTCATCATGATAGAAGAAATAAGTGAAGATGGTGTCAGGAAATGGATTCAAATGCTCCTCATGTTTACCATAAAATATATTTGTGTGTTCTTGAAATATAAACCTACAGGCAATGTTACAAATAGATTTCTTAGTTCCCCCAATGTTTTTTTTTGCATATAAAAAGAGGATCATGACCACTGTAGATACTTTTGTACTAGTTTTTTTTTTTTGCTTAAAAAATTTCATGATGTGAAAGGTAGAGCGGCATAGCTAGCATTCTGTCACCTTTAGCAAGCTGTTTTTTAAATGGGTGGGGTAAAAAGAAAAAAAAACCTAGTAATAAATGTATCAACTAAACAAAAAAAAACAGAAATTTTATTGCTGTTTTGCCATGTAAAAAAATAGAGAACTTGTGAATAAAATGTGATGAGAGTACATTGACACTAGGTCCCCTGGACATTGACACTAGGTCTCCAGGACATTGACACTAGGTCCTCTGGACCTTGACACTAAGCCTCCCTTGCATTAACACCAGGTCCCCTAGACATTAACACTAGGTCCCCCAATTTGCCTGCTGGGATGGGAGTTTTTTTTAGTCGATAATGAGATAACTAATAATTCTTATTTTGCATTTACGCTAAGATAGAAATTCTTTACACAAAAAAACAAAACACAAAAAAAAACTCCCAGTTATCCACTCATATCTAGTGGTCTTTGGATTGATGCAGTATGTTCTAATTTTCCCCATTCAAAACTGATATCATGGATGTGGTACATGTCCACACATTTGGGTAAACTGAACTTCACATTGAGGGTAGACCATATTGTTTTAGTAGAACTCTTTACTTACTACCTTACTTCAACAGCTCCCCCCCCCCCAACCTGCGCAAACACAAACTCTCATAAGATTATCCATGAATGATCCACAAATCTATTTGTTTTCAACTGCTATCAGCAAGACATGGTGATGTTTAGCAAAATGTAGAACATATTTTTAAAAAGAAAACAGTGTCAAAACAGTTCTGCCGGAACTTAATTTACTTTTAATTGGACTCTGGAAGTCACCCGTAATATAATCCAAATTATCTAAAAATTAATGATAACCATTGCTTGTCAGGTTGTTCTGGCTGGCACAAACTTTTTTCTTAACTCTTGCGTCTGTGAGTTTTAGTAATTAGTCTGTGTTACAAGATAGTAGATAGAAAATGGCTTGAACAAAACAAAACAAAAAAATAAATAAATAACCTTTCGAATATTTCAAAACCTACACTAAATAAATCCCTTTTTACAGTAACTACTAAATTTTCCTCAATATAAGTAATACACATGGAAGAACACATATCATGATTCAAAAAACTTTATTTTGTTATATTCTCCAGCACAATCCTTGTCCAAGTTTGGACAGTTCATTGAAACCATTGAGATGCACAGGGACATCCTGGTAAGTTTCAAATCATCCATATGTAAGTGATATTTAAACATTACCATTGCTCAAATTGATACATGTTACAGATCATACGTAATGTTGCTTTTATCATGGCTTTAAATTTAATTGTGTTTTTCCCTTTGGTCCTCTTTAGATTTCCTCTGCTGAAGATCAGTTTGTGAAACCGCTGGAAAACTTCAGGAAGGAAAGCATTGGGGCTGCTAGGGTAAGTTATTTATCCTTTCTGTGTCATTGTTTTTGTGAGCTAAAGATAGAGCTCATTGCAGTTTATCATCCTGGCCCCTTTGTTTTTTTTAGTTTCTCTTTATTTTGTATGCAAGATACTGGGATAGTAGAAAGCAACGTGTTTTAAATTTGTGGCCATTGTTGCAACTGCGATGTTTTAGTATTGGAACATGCGTGAGGGAGGGTGCATCATTGTTGAGGCCCAAGTTAGGTGTCACACTACTAATTAGGCTTTGTGACTAGGTGGCTTACATGATGTATGTAAATGACAGACCTGTTTATTTTTATGATTTTGGCGTACAACGTGTATACATTATATTTACTGTATGTTTATTTTTTTTACTATTGAGATAATGTATTGAAAGATTTTGTGATGATATTGTACGATTTTAAGAGTTTGAGGGCAAACAGGCCTGAAATGATAACAAGTGTAGAGACCAATAAAGTTTTGAATCTCAATGATCTCACCACTATTCATACTAGTAATTATTTACCATTTTTAAATGACCTCATGCTTGATAGCTTGCTAAAAGGGTTTTTGTGTGATGTATGTTGCAGGAGGAGAAAAAGAACTTTGATAAACAGACTGCTAAGTTCTGCCAGTCACAAGAGAGATATCTCAACATGAAGGCATCCAAGATCAATGACTGTGCCCTACAAGAGGTATTTAATTCTTTTTTTTTTTTTTTTTGTATCATATCATCTGTAAATTATAAAATACATCATCTTTTTATTTACTACCTGTCATAATAGCTAACCTGTGAAATCAAAACATGTGCAAAAAAATCCACAGAACAACCTGTACAAAAACATAAAAAACCTGTGCAAAAAATTGAAAATTTGAAATAATTACGATTTACTATTTGTATTTATTTGTTTCATTTAAATATCCCTGTTTTGGATACATGCAGTCTTTTGATTTCCTTTCATTGCAGGCGGACACACAAGTTGAGTTTGAAAAGAAAGCATTTTACACAGCCTCTATGAAATATGTTCTCAAGCTGCAAGAAGTGCAGGAGAAGAAAAAGTTTGAGTTTGTAGAGATAGTAAGTCGTGTCAGTATTTAAAAATTCTAAATCGTGGGTCGTCAAATGAGTTACCGGTATGTTTTTGCTATTCTGAAAAAATGTTGGTTTTTGTAATTCTCAAATTTGGGTCATCTAGTAAGTTTCAATTTTTTATTTTTTAATCCTCAAATTTGAGTCGTGGCCATATTTATGCATAGTCTAAATGTCAACTTTCTAATTAGTGTGAAAAATTATGCAAATTCCTGCTGATCAAATGTTTTCTAAAATGTACATGTCCCAAGTGAATTATATATACCGGTAACGTATTTATTGGCGTATAACACACACTTTTTCTCCCTGAAAATAGGGGGCAAATGATGTGTGTGTGTAATACGCCGATATAACGTTTAGATTTTTTTCCTAAAATTTCCTTCTTAAATTGAGATGCGTGTTATACGCAGGGGCGTGTTATACGCCAATAAATACAGTATATAATAATAATAATATATATATATATATATATATATATATATATATATATATATATATATATATATATAATCTGATCCACTGTTTTACCTCATGTCATATGTTCACCTGCATACTGTATCTATTCTGAAAAATTTATAGTTCTTTGATCCACTGTTTTACCTCATGTCATATGTTCACCTGCATACTGTATCTATTCTGAAAAATTTATAGTTCTAATTTATTGATATCTTCAGCTGTTGAGTTACATGCTGGGCTGGCTTACATTTTACCACCAGGGCTACGTGGACCTTGAAGAGTTTCAAAGTTACGAGAGCAACCTTAGGCTCCTGTTACAAAAGGTTGTTGTGCATTGTTATTTTTAAATTTGTCTCCATGTGGCTGACACAGCTTGAGAACAAAATGTATTTTGTAAAATAAAACTTTAATGGAAGTTTCCACAGTTGAAAAATTTAATAAAAATGTTAAAATCAAAATTTATGCTAACCGTTTATTAGATTCAATTTGGAGTCATCATTTAGATACATTTCATTGAAATTTGAGGCACAATCTGAATACGAATTTTACTGTTTGGATGGCATCATTTAAAAAATTGTTCTATATCCTTGTGTTTTTCTTAAAAACTCTAGACAAGGGAAAACTTTGACTGCACCAAAGATGAGGCACAAATGTTGATGGGGAAAATGCTGAATGAAAACAAGGGCCTGGTGAGTACCCTTTTGCTAAATACATGCTCCAGTTAACTTTACAACATTTTAAAGATATTTAATATTGCACTGCATTATACAAAGGGTAAAGCCAAACCCAGTGAACTGAAATTTCATAACGGTAAAAGTATAAACATATTAAAAAGCCAACGTATGGCATGATGACTGGCTCTGTGCATAAATGTGAATGTGTTTGTCTGGCATAACCTTCTGGCTATTGTAATTTTTCATGAACTAACACTCACCATTACTTTGCACTGACCTGTCTTGCCCAACCTGTATCTAGCTACATGCAGCACAGTGGGTAAGAACTAGTCGTTGTTGCCACCACATACAGCCTACTTTTACTAGCCTTAATTATTTAGTTGTTTAATTTTGTGATGTGTTTGTTTTATTTTTTTGACTTAACCTTTTCACTTTAACATATCACAGTTCATTTTCTATCAGACCTGTTTACTCTTACGATTTTGGCGTACAATGTACGATTTTTAGATGTCTTTTATAAATTGTACGCCGAGACCCGCTAAAACTACGATTTTCAGAGGCCCGTTGGAAAAAAAAAAATTCCCGATTAAAAAAATTAATAAATTTTCGGTTTTGGCACTTTTAGCCCTCTCTAAAATAAAGATCTGGCAGTGAATATGACCAAGAAAAACGATTGTTTTTTTTTTGTTTTTATTTAAAGTTGGGACAATTCTTCATTATATTTAATAAGCATTAATGGGGAGTGGGGGCTATTGATTAAGGAAATTGTGGCATACGAGACACGCATGGGTAGGGGATTGGTGGGAGTGTCAAAGGATATAAATAAATCACCGCGACGTACGATATTGATGGTGATTGTCGTATTGCTGCTTTGTGTGTCACAGTCACAGTGAACTAGCTCGTTGCGTCAACAGTAATCTTTAGACTAGTCTCCTTAGCGACAACTTCACACACCATCGCCTTTGACTGCTGCCAAGCGTGTGATGTAGTTTTGTTACATAATTATTTTGTTCCTCAGAACCGCAGCGATTGTGAAAACGGATGTTTTATAAAATAGAATACATTATCCACCTGATCTGGACTGGAGCGTTGGATTTGGGGAAAATTTTTATAAGAGCCAGTCGGCGGCAGATACAAACTTTGTTTATAACTCGTAAAGCAGCTCTATGCCCTCAACGATTTTAATCCAACAGTTTGGTATCACTACTCCTACTACCCCCCCTCCCCCTGCCCCTACACACTTTTCTTTTTACAGCTTGCGGTAGTTAGACTATAGCAGTGGTTGGCAAAGCGCGGCTCGCGAGTTGCATGCGGCTCTTTAGTGATCTAAGTACGGTTTTGACTCCCAAGAACATGGTTCTTGACAGGTTCTTGAAAAAAAATGTGGCTCTTAAACAAATTGTAATCGCCCTGTTGGTGATTTTTTTGGCTCTTTTAACTAATGAGTTTGCCCACCATGGGACTAAAGTGTGTTGGCGGGAAAAAAAGCAGGCGCCTTTTGGGTAGGCGACGGCACAGTTTTTTTCCCCTTAATGAGGGTGGGGGATGGTTGGAAACAAATATGTCACAGCACGGAAAGACTTGTCACTATGTCATGTTTAATATTACTATGGTACTACAGTGATTTATTTATGAAAAATCAAAGATACGATAACGGCCAAACATTGTGGTGATATTTTTATAGCCTTTATAATAATAATTAATAATAAGCCTAATTAGAATTTGTGGATTTCACAGATTATCCGGTGACAGTTGGCTCTATAAGAGACTGTCAGGATAATCATTAAAGAATTCAAGCATAAATGTAGGTGCATTCTGCGCCCCCCCCCCCCCCCCCCCCCCCCCACGATCCCATCAAAGCTGCCATGCGCATCCTTAGCGCGTACGTAATAAACAGTCAGGCTTTTCATTAGCAATCAATCAGAGACAAAAGGGGTGGTGTTCATTTAGGAGATCGTGTGCATGGCGTCCATTTAAATTTAGATGCTCAACACCGCCAAATTTTCGTAATGACACTTCGGGTGTGTGTGTTTGTGGTTGGGGGGGAATCCTCGGCAGAAAGTATGTGTGTTAGTAAGAAAATTCTACAATATTCATTTTTTGACGCCAACTTAACTCGATTCCACTGAACACCGCTATAGGAGTAGTTATTATATCTATGATGTATACTGTAGTTTTATTTATTGACTATTAATATACTGTATTGTACGATTTTTAGACCATATTGTACGATTTTAGGGGTTTGAGGGTAAACAGGTCTGTTCTATTTACTATTTATGGCTCCATTAAAAAAAAATATTTAAGAAATTATAGATGTGAACATGCACAGACACTAATAAAATAATTATAAACACATTAAAAGAACATGATTTATAAGCCTTAGAGGAACCATCTTAAAATTTCATGTCATTACTCTTTGAAATCACACTTGGGGAAATTTTTGTAGATGACATTTGCCATATAATTTGTATACAACAGCTGGCTAGATTCTTCAACTATTGGCTAGCCCCCAGATATTCTGCTTTGTCTATGCATTGTATAACAAGGTAGCCCCCAGATATTCTGCTTTGTCTATGCATTGTTGTATAACAAGGTAGCCCCCAGATAGTCTGCTTTGTCTATGCATTGTTGTATAACAAGGTAGCCCCCAGATAGTCTGCTTTGTCTATGCATTGTTGTATAACAAGGTGTAATTTTAAATGTCTCTGTTTTGGTCTTGATCCTTTCTGTGATTAAACAAATAGCTCTTGCATTACACTACAATTTTATATGTTTAGTCCCCATAGGGGTTGTGGCTAATACAAAAATGGATTTGTTTCGATATTTTTTTGTTGTCGAGACACACATATTTTATTTTTTAAAAATTAAATGTTCAAGTGCCATCATATTACTGCTTTTTATTTTTAAAAATTAAATGTTCAAGTGCCATCATATTACTGCTTTTTATTTTTAAAAATTAAATGTTCAAGTGCCATCATATTACTGCTTTTTATTTTTAAAAATTAAATGTTCGAGTGTCATCATATTACTGCTATTATTTGTCAAAGGAGCCCAAATTACTCGTTGCAATAATATTTCTGAGAACATTTTGGAAAAAAATAATACATTTTTAAAAAAATTTTGTGTACTGTTTTCTATCTTTGATGTTTATTTCTCAGTAGTTTTTAGTTTTTATCATAGCATGTCTCCCTGTGCTAGACATAACTTCCCAGTTTCTTTTAGATTTGGGATGTTTTTGTGTCATTAAAATGTTAAAAATCCATTTTTCTCAACATGGTAACACTTCTAGATTATTAATAAAATATTCTTAGTCATCTTTAATTAAATATCTTCATGCACATAGAATCTTTATAGTACTGAATTTTTTTTAAAATATACAATTTCTTTCTCAAGATTGATTTTTGTAAAATATTTTAATGAAATTCTAAATTCATAAAGATAATTTTGTTGAATTTCAACACTCTCAACTGCCCCCACCCTCTACTTTTAACATCTTATTTCAGAAACCCTTGGATCAGTCTGGCACACTCAAAGGCTTTACTCGGCAGGGATACCTTTACCTGATGGAGAAAAGTAATGAACAGACCAGTAGTCTAGCAGTTTATGTGTTTATGCTCTTACACTCACAGTTTAGCACAGTTAAATTACACTCAGATTTAAATTACACTCACAGTTAAACACATTTAAATCACATTTAGAGACCGACCGAAAGTGATTTTCTGATTTTGGCCAAAATGAGGCTGAAAGTTAAAAATGACTTTCAGCTAAAACTGTAGCCGAAACAAAAAAGTTAACTAGACTTTCGGCCGAAACCGAAATATATAGATATTTTGAAATTGTTTCACGCATACATTCTGCATACATCGAAAAATGGTGGGGGAAAGTATCAATATTTACATTCTTTTTATAAAAAATGAGATTACTGTGAATATTAATAAATAATTATCTATTGAATACTTTGGCTTTTACCCTTTAAATTTAAAAATAACTTAAATTTCTTCAAAATGTATTTTAAAGTAGTAGGGTAAGAGAAAATTTAGACGGGAGGGGTAAAATTCATGCAAAATAGATTCTTGAAAGCCCTTTGCTTTTATTATATAACTACAACCTTACCTCGACATATATCTACAATAATTATTGTGGCTCTAATAGAGCCAATTTTCACCTAAATATCAGTTATTAACTGATTAGCTACCAGATTGAAAAACCCGCTGTGGCAGAATTAAATCCAGGTCACTTTTTCTCACTTTAGGTCCATGTACAAATACAGCTGCAGTTTTCTCAATTATAAACATATTCTAATGATTAATAAACCATTTTGTGGGTAATTGAATTGTCCATAGGATAAACTTAACACATTTGTAAAGGTAAGTTTTGTTGGGAAATTATTAATTGTTAAATTAGCATTTACCACAGAATATCAATAAAAAAATATATAAATGTACCAAATTACGTAGAAATTTTAAATTTACAAATCAATGAAAGCCTTTTATTTGGTTGTTTACAAATAGTATATCCAATAATAAGAAAAATGCACCAAAGAGCACAGAAATTGAATAATATTTACACTTCCAATCACTTGTTTGCCTTTAGTAACACTGTCACTTGTTGCCATGGTAAACAAGTAGTACAACTTTGTAACTAGCTTGGAAATTAAATCAAAATTAATTAACAGCTTCTTTTTTAAAACATTCTTTCGATAGCATGTTGATCGAATATAAACATCCTGTCGGTAAATTAAAATATAGAAGCAAAACGGGAACGGAATAATATAAATGATTTGACTTGATTTACTACGATACAAACCTTGGTGATACCAATGGCTCGTGGCCATAACGAAAGAAACACCCAGCCGCTCCGACCGGCTCGTGATAGTTAACCAGTTAAGGCTGTAAAAATATCACCACAATGTTTCATGGTTATCAATCATACTAATGCCTTATGTATTCATAAATAGCTGGCAAGATATCGCTGTATTAATATTTAGCCTAGTACCAACACACTAGTCATTACGTGCTGGTGATGTAATCATTTCATTCGGGGACCAATCTCCCTCACCCTCATTGGTGGGGGCAAAAATATTCTTTTAATCGGGTCTCTTAAAACTGTTGTTCTGACCTGTCTTGATGGAAAATGGCTAAAGACATCTCAAAATCTTACATTGGTTGCCAAAATCATAAAAAGTAAACAGGTCTCCAGTAGGCCTCCAACGTAATTATCATATAAACCTGTGACACATCCACAGGCGTGTTATTTCGTCAATACCAATGATTATGAGCATGATTATGATGAATTTCTAGAAATGAATGAATTGAAAAAGCCTAAGTTTCCCAGATTTTTATTTTTAAAAAAATAATGCAAAACTGATTATGGAAATATTACCATTCCCTAAGATTATTCAATATTTGTCACCTTCGCCTATGACAACATTGATGAGCATGATAATGATAAATCAAAATGAATATCACGAATGAATTGAATAAACATAGGGTTCCAAATTTTATTTTGGAAAATTTAATACAAAAATAATGATCTAAATATTACCATTCCGTTTGTTTTTCTTGCACAAAACTATTTACATTTGCCTCAGCCTAATTCAAATTTAATTTTGGAAATAAAGTACAAGTAGGTCATCATGCAGCTGTGACCTGCATTTGAAGAGTATTAGTCATATATAATACATTGAGAAATAATGAAGATTGGATTGCCGGCCTAGAGACAGACAGACAGACAGTCTGACTTCTGGTAGATGACAGAAAACCTCAGTCACTTTCGGCATGATGGCCGAAAGTCTCGATCACTTTTGGCCGAAACCTAAATTAAACCAAAGTTAACTTTTCTGTTTTGACCGAAGCCAAAATTCGGCCGGTCTCTACACGCAGTTGAACACAGTTCTGTGTTAGCATAATGTTTGTAAAGTCCTCAGCATCAGCTCAAATAAATCTCATTTAGCTATTAAATCTAAAATTTATAGCTGACACTGACAAGCCTAAAATAAAAAATAATACTGGTACAGAGAAGACTTGCAATCAAGTTGAAAGATAAAGCAAAGAGGAAACAATTAAGGGATTTAAAAAAAAAGAAAAAGGCGGAGGTGTTGGCAAAAAGCCTTCTTCGCCAAACAAAACAAATTAAAAAAAAAAAGTAAAGTAAGCTCAGCTGATGAGGTAGGAAGCTGTGTCTCATCACAAGGCAAATGCACTGATCTAAATAGTGAAGTAAGCTCAGCTGATGAGGTAGGAAGCTGTGTCTCATCACAAGGCAAATGCACTGATCTAAATAGTGAAGTAAGCTCAGCTGATGAGGTAGGAAGCTGTGTCTCATCACAAGGCAAATGCACTGATCTAAATAGTGAAGTAAGCTCAGCTGATGAGGTAGGAAGCTGTGTCTCATCACAAGGCAAATGCACTGATCTAAATAGTGAAGTAAGCTCAGCTGATGAGGTAGGAAGCTGTGTCTCATCACAAGGCAAATGCACTGATCTAAATAGTGAAGTAAGCTCAGCTGATGAGGTAGGAAGCTGTGTCTCATCACAAGGCAAATGCACTGATCTAAATAGTGAAGTAAGCTCAGCTGATGAGGTAGGAAGCTGTGTCTCATCACAAGGCAAATGCACTGATCTAAATAGTAAAGTAAGCTCAGCTGATGAGGTAGGAAGCTGTGTCTCATCACAAGGCAAATGCACTGATCTAAATAGTGAAGTAAGCTCAGCTGATGAGGTAGGAAGCTGTGTCTCATCACAAGGCAAATGCACTGATCTAAATAGTAAAGTAAGCTCAGCTGATGAGGTAGGAAGCTGTGTCTCATCACAAGGCAAATGCACTGATCTAAATAGTAAAGTAAGCTCAGCTGATGAGGTAGGAAGCTGTGTCTCATCACAAGGCAAATGCACTGATCTAAATAGTAAAGTAAGCTCAGCTGATGAGGTAGGAAGCTGTGTCTCATCACAAGGCAAATGCACTGATCTAAATAGTAAAGTAAGCTCAGCTGATGAGGTAGGAAGCTGTGTCTCATCACAAGGCAAATGCACTGATCTAAATAGTGAATCCAAATCCAAGCCACTTCTACTGCCTTTTCTAATTATGTAACCTGACACCCCCCCCCCACCCTTTTTTTTCCCTTGTTAAATGCAATCATATTCTGCATTCTTTCAAATGTTGGGTTTTTTTAATCAAGGGATATAAAAAAAATTTCTAGTTAAGTCTATACAATTAAAAATTTGACCAGTATAATTTGATGAAAGCACCTAATCAGGGTCTTAATTTGATCAAGTTTGTGATTCTCAAGTTGACCTCACCCAAATGTTGACTTTCCCCATGCATTCTTCCAGAGGCTCTAGGCACAACATCATGGACCAAATATTACTGTCAGTACAAGAAAGAAACTAAAGAATTTTACATGATTCTCTATAACCAGATGGGAGGGAAACTGGTGAGTGCTTGCTGCCAGTGTCATTAGGTTAGATAGGTCGGTGTGAAAATGCTACAGCATAGTACAGGGGCTGTTTTCAAACACAGAGTTATTTTTAGCCACCACTTAGACTTGCTGGCTTGACCTTGAAATTGACATCACTGAGTGAATGTATTGTATTTCACCCAGTGAATGTATTACCACCCAGTGAATGCATTGTCACTTTTTTTCCCCTATTTTTACAAAATAACCTGAGATTCAGGGTTTATTACATTACACTGTGTCATTTTACAAAATAATCTGAGATTCAGGATTTATTACATTACACTGTGTCATTTTACAAAATAACCTTAAATAATTGACTAACTTACGACTCTTTAATAGTTGCATTCATGTTCACACCATATCTGCATGATTTTCATCAAGTCATTTATTGTGATCTACAGAATGAACCTGAGAAGTACATACTGGATAAATGTGTGAGGTAATTAGATGTGAAATATTTTTTTGGAAGAGTCACCATACTGTGAGTTATTGGAATGTCTTAAAGAAAGAAAAAAAAAGCTTAAGTTATTGAAATAGTAGATGAAGTTCGTCATGCACTTAGAAGTTATTGGCCTAGAATTAATTTTAAAAATTTAACATTTCTATGTTAGGTGTCTGTCTTAATGTTGATTTCAGCAACAGTCTCTGATACAAAAGAATTCGTTGACCACAAAACAAGCCATTAGAATTTTAAGCACTTGTAGATACTGTGCGCTAGCAGGAGCATCACGTCATTTTAAGATTATTCTGATTTATATCATCTTCATCCCTTTCAGACGAGCCACTGACAGTATCGAGAAGAGATTTTGTTTTGATGTGACCCTAAAGGAAAAGTAAGTCTTGTTTTGTCTCACAAACTGACCTCTTGTTGTCAAGCTCCCGTGATCGTGTGGACTCCTTCAATTTAGTGGACATCCTTTGTAAACTTCCTTTCATGGCATCAACCCTCAGACACCAACTCTGACACATTCATTTTTGTGCTAAAAGTTCCTGCACACCGTTGGTTTCCGTTAACTTGGTGATGCCCCCATGCAAACCTTTCAGCCATCAAACAGTAGGGCTTTGGTTCTGTACTGTTTATCTGATAGATGTTGTGTTAAACCTGCATCTCTCTTTTTCTAAAACAAGTTTTGAGAATCAAGAGTTCCTCACAGATCTGCACCTAATAACCTATGCTTGATTTACATGCTTTTCACTGGGTTGTTTCCTTTTCTTTCCCATTCCAAATTGATCAACTGACTGAATAGGAAAGATAGATGGCTTTTTGGTAGTTTTTGTTCAGGCCTAGACTAGAGAGCGAGACTAACCCATGACATAAATCCAACCACACGACTCGCTTTTTACATGTCGCTATAAAGAAAGCGGGAATATCCCCGTTAAATTGAGATTTATTGTTTTGTCGGTCGGGGAGCGTCCATTGTTTTAATAGCTGATCTAATTTTCATTGTTATGATCATAAGCAGCTGAGTACCTGGGTGGATGTAGTTATGACATTTGGCAATTTACTCATCACTAACATTGGGGAAATAATGGAATACAACACATAAACTGACCAGTTATGAATGTAAATCAATTTATTTTACAGGCATAAATTTTAAAAAAATATATTTATTTTAAAGAACTTTCTAAAACCATCCCGGGTGACTGTGTGGTTGATCTCCTTCGGATGGGGTTTCAACGGATAAAATATCAGAGGGCTCGGGGCTGATTGGGTCAATGTTAACGCCTATTACAGGCCTGAGTCCTAAACAATTTGAGAAGATAGGCTCTTTATCCTTATTCTGAAATCAGGAAAACCTTACATTCAATATGTGATTAGATTTTAAACTGAAATCTTTGTCCTGTGTATTTGCTAGCTCTCTATCATTTAGTTTATAAAAACGTTGGAATGCTCCCATTACACATTTTTGTTATAGAACTATAGAGAAATGGGACCATCATGTAGAAAACTTATTCTTTTTTTTTAATGAAATAGTAGAACAAGGTTTGTTGAAGCTTAAATCAAAAGACATGACAATGAGATGTTAACAGGACAAATGAAAATACAACAAGAAACAGAGCACAGTAAAAAAATTAAGAGCTCTCTCTTGTTGTTGTCTTGTCTTTTGATTCAAGCTTCAACATACCTTGCTCTGCTATTTTATTCACAAAGCTTGAATGCAGTCCTTCAATTACATTCTTTTTTTTTTTTTACTGCTTATCCAATATTCACCCTGTGGCTCATAGAAACTTAAAGTAGCCATGCTGTTGTTGAACGTAATTAAAGGAGTAAGGTTTAAGTTACAGCACTATGTCTATATGAGTAAGTTCGTCCCCGGCCCATCCTTACTTGTCTGTGTAAGCTAGATCGGCCTGCCCACAAAACCACTAATGCTCATCCCTCATGTCACTAACTGTCTCATCACTAGTCTGTAAGCTAGATCGGCCTGCCCACAAAACCACTAATTCTCATCCCTCATGTCACTGTCTGTCTCATCACTAGTCTGTAAGCTAGATCGGCCTGCCCACAAAACCACTAATTCTCATCCCTCATGTTACTAACTGTCTCTAGGTTAGACGAGAGCACCGCAGGAGACTTGCGCACTTTCCCCGCCAATGTCTTAAAATCACCTCTGAAACAACAACACAAATTACTGAGAGAAAGGTTGCCCGTTTGGTTTGCCTGCCTGCTTTCAACACGTTTTTACATTTCCCAGCCAGTTACAATTTATTGATTCTGCTTAGATGTTTTGTTTTCTACCTGAAAGCTTTGCCAGATTTTTTATAAATGTTTAGTTAGTTTTCTCTTTTCATTTAATTCTCATTGACATTTTTTAAATATTCTTTGCATTGTTCTAATGGGTATTTTCACAAAATGTTAAGTTTGAGACGGAAACATAAAAAAAATTGAGTATTGCAACTGTACCACCAAGAATTTCAAGTTGAAAAGATGTGCTAATGAGTTAACGACTTGAATATTTATTGATGATATATTTAACTAAAACTTGGTGAAACTACCCCCCCCCCCCCCCCCCCAACCGTCCACTCCTTGCTCTCTCCATTCTCATAATTTTCCAAAGAGAATGCCTTTTTTTGCAGTATGTTACATATATTCACTACACAATGAGTTGTTTATGATAACCACCCACTATTCACTACAAGTTCTTTAAAAATTCAAATATTTTTTTTGTTGCTCTTACCAGTGCGTAGAAACGAATTCAATGAAAATGTTCAGTCATTGATTCATTTATAAAGAAATATGGGCATACATTTACTGTTATTGGTCATTAGTTACTTAGATCTATCAATCTTCTTGAATTGCCTTTACTTTTTCTTCATAGACACAAAGGATTTTCTCTTAAACCAATAAAGTAAATTAATTATTTTTATTTAGCATGGGTCGTCCTTTAATATCACTTTCATTTGTTCAATGAAATCAAATCAACCTGGCGAAACTTGCTGCTAATCTCTCCTATATAGGCTTGTATTTCTTAGAATTACCTTTCTTTTCAAAATAAATGTGATACCAAAGTAGAAGTCATAATTTTTGAGACATGTTAAATTATTTCTTTTTAAAATTTTCTCTTACTATGATCAATGGAATGCTTTTCATCATTCAGAATGGGATTCTTAAACTTCACCAGAAAGTAATGTTCTCCTTGTTTTGACTCAGTACTTCAACTTTATACGTTTGCATCCCAGTTGAATGCTCTTACCTTAGAAACATAAAGATCTTGTCAATGGGTTTGCCCACAGTCAGCAGCAGGACTGAGCATTCTCCAACATAGCCATGGCTGTAACTAGGCCAAACCAACTTTTCCCCATTTCATGTCAAACTTTCAACTCTGTTCACTAGTCTGCTAAAGAAGCTCATTTCTTCAACTGATCACCTAAGGGGTCAGCAAAAAAAACTTATGGCATGAATTCTTATCAACTCAGGCCTCAACTCCCAAATTATAAACATTAAATTGTGTCTGGAGCCTTTCAAAGACAAAGAACCAAAACTTGTTTACAATTTTGATCACTACTTCGTTACATTTTTCATAGTGGTATAATTACAAAGCTCTGCAACTGTTTTTCTGCGGCACACAGGTGAACCGTGTGAAGCGTGAGAAGATGTCTTCAAAGATGATGAAAATCATGCAAAGATGTTATAAATTGTTTTGAAACGTGAGGGCATGACAAATTTTTTTTTAAAAACCTAAGGGTGATGACTGGACAAATAACAAGCTGTCAAAAGTTTGATGTTTGAAGTGCTATAGCACAGCACATCTACAGGTTTAAATCTGGCAGGTCACATGATTAGTCACCATCTCCGGCATGTCAGAAGCAACCAGTAGAATTTGATCCTGTCAACTTTGCCTTTGATCCTACACTTTTCATCAATGCAGTGTGCAATACTTTGACTAGGTGTTGATTGCTGGTGGTTTAAACATTTGTGCAGAGATAACATGCCATCACCCAGACATGAAAACAAACCCAATGCAAGCTAGCCCCCCCCCCCCCCCCCCCCCTGTCCAGACTCAGTGTACCAAAAATTGTTCATCTGATTTGTTGACACTCATTGACACAGTTAAACATTGTTTTACTTGGGATATATAATTTTTTTTATAGATATTGCTTTGTTTTGTTAATGTTTTTTTGTGTGGCTTGTTTGTTTTCATCAAAATAGGCAGAGAAGTCATCTCAATAGTTGTTGTTAATTTCAAATCTTGTTAATTTGTGTATGGAGTTTTTTTTTACAATGTATTTTCCCTATATTTCTGTCCTGTTGATATTCAGGCATAAACAGGAAAACAACTGCTTTAGGCCATGCACCTTGGTATATACTACCTACTTGCGCCTGTTCGTTTCACGTCTAAGAGAAATTAAAAAAAAAAATGTTGGTAAAAGTAAATAGCAGTTAAGCAGTTGAGTTTTTTCCCCCCTGTGTTTTAATTGTGGTTTGCCGCAGACATCTGGGAGGGTATAGGTGTGCCGTGAGGGGAAAAACGGTTGCGGAGCACTGGCATAATATACAAGAATCCTAAGAATGTTCAGTGGCCATCTTTGACTCAAGATTGACCAGACATTTTACCATCATCTCAATGGGTTTTTATATATTTGATTTAGGAATGTTTCCCCTTTTGTTCTAGTGATTAGTTTATGTTTTTAAAAAGAAAAAACATCATCTCATATTTGGACTCGTGATAATGATATTTTAAAGTCCCTTTTATTTCCAGTAACTTAAATGTTTTAATTCCCTACAGTATTTTTCTTAAAATACTTCAAAATAAATTATTGTTAATTATTTTATTATAGGAATTACTCTACTTAATCTTTTATTTTAAAATCTATACAATTTTAAAAAAATACTAAATATGGATATTTAAAAAAAAAAAAACACTTCAACATAGTATTTAACTTCTTTTCTCTTTTTGAAAAAAAACTTGAATCTTTAAAAATTTTTAATGAGTCAGTTGATAAATAATGATCCTTTGAAAACCCCCTTGAGATATTTTGTGCTTTAATCATGTCAACAGCAACATTTATTGATTGTATGTGACTTTTCTTGTATGTCTTTGGCAGATCCGTGCCCTTGACCTTCCAAGCACTATCTGATGATGACAGGAAGCTTTGGTTGGATGCTATGGATGGGAAGGAACCGGTGAGTGGGGCTTTTTAATATAGTCCGAACATTTTACAGATTAGTGGGGCTTTGAAGTAAGTGGGCATACTTTACAGGTGAGTGGGCGCTTTGAAATATGGGGGCATAATTTACAGGTGAGTAGGGCTTTAACATATAGTGGGCATAATTTACAGGTTAAAATAGAGTTGGAAAAATCTACAGGTGAGTTGGGCTTTCCGACAAAGTGGGCATATTTAACATGTGAGTTGGGCTTTTAAATAAGATGGGCACCATTTACAGACGATTTAGGCTCTTAAATCTGGTAGGCAGTCAAGTTTGTTAATACTGGTTTAGATGATCTCTATTTTCATACAAAATAATATCTATGTTGAAAAGGTAATTAACCATGGGTGTCTTTGTTTCAGACCTACACAATGCATAATATCAAAACAGAGGAATGTAAGTATCAGGGATAGCTGATCTTATCTACTTCTAGCTCTCTATATAATTTATATCTTGTCCAGCTCTGTACACATTTTATAACTCATCATGCTTTATATCTCATCTAATTCTGTACATGTTTTATAACTCATCTAGTTCTGTATATGTTTTATATCTCAACTAGTTCTGTGTATGTTTTATAACCATCTAGCTCTGTATATGTTTTATAACCCATCTAGCTCTGTACATGTTTTATAACTCATCTTGTTCTGTACATGTTTTATAACTCATCTAGTTCTGCACATGTTTTATATCTCATCTAGTTCTGTACATGTTTTATATCTCATCTAATTCATGTGTTATAACTCATCTAGTTCTGTATGTTTTATAATCCATCTAGCTCTGTATGTTTTGTAACTCATCTAGTTCTGTATGTGTTTTAAACCTCATCTATTTCTGTTAATGCTTATATAGCTAAATCCTAAGGTGATTATTTTATTCATTAAATATCCCACCTGAACTGAAATGGCTCTGATCTTATCAGTTCTATAGATTGACTAGTATTTGACCCTTCTCCTCACAGACCGTCCCGTTAATGGGGATGAATCCTTTAGAGCAGGGGTGTCAAACTCAATTGCTCGGCGGGTCAAAACGCAAATCCTGTTTAAGGTTGCAGGCCGTACTGGATAAACATTCAATAAGCGGAAAATAACCTTTTTTTGAAAAAAACATTTCAATGAAAAAATAAAAAAAGTTTTAATAATTAACAATCATTGGCATTAGTTCTTATGCCAATTTGTCAGAGCTGGATGTTTGGCACATTGTCTTGTCTACAAAAACAAGTAAGTTCAGTTAAGTTGGGAGTAATGTTATGGTTCATTGAGATTCTCATGATGGACTGCAAGTGTTCACCAGTGAGACAAATCCTGTGCAATGTTTTGCTAATCTTCATCACAGAAAACAGCTACTGACACATATATGTGCTATCCAGCATGCTCAAGGTTGGAGCCGCATGTAGTCGAAGCTGGGGCATCTCTCTAGAAATGAAACAAGTGCACTGTGCAGGCCAAACTGGGTCGTACTTTGCATTAAGTCTCCCATTACACTGCAGCTCTATTAGCTCCATCTCCAAATTTACAGGTGCAGTTTCCCTGTCTATAATGGGTAACAAAACAGCTCAAAATTACAATTCTGTGCTTTAAAGTTACTAAAGCGCCACGCGAACTCCGAGCGAAGTTAACTAAGTTTGTGTGCATTGGGAAACACCATAGCGTTGACTAGGATATAAATGTACGCCAGTCATGTCCTCGAGGGCCTGATATAGTTGTTGGGCGGGCCGGATGTGGCACGCGGGCTTTGAGCTTTATACATGCGCTTTAGAGTCAGCCCGCAGAGAGTCAATGAAGTCCTTTATTTTTTATTTCAGCAATGTTGGATGATGTGGGATTTCACTTTATCAGGCGGTCTATAGCAGCTATAGAGAGTAGGGGTAAGTCAACTTATAGCAGCTATAGAGAGTAGGGGTAAGTCAACTTATAGCAGCTATAGAGAGTAGGGGTAAGTCAACTTATAGCAGTTATAGAGTGGTTATAAGTCAACTTTACAATAGCAACTATAGAGATTAATGGTAAGTCAACTTTACAACAGCAGCTATAGAGATCAGTGGTAAGTCAACTTTACAATAGCAGCTATAGAGATTAGTGATAAGTGAACTTAATGAAGCAATTGAGAGTCTTGGCCTATGTAGTCACACATAAAAAGTGTTATTTGTGTTTGTTATCAAACTGTCCTAACAACTATTCCTATAAGTTCAGTAATAACATAGATTCTTTCCTTGATAATAGAAATTTTACTTTGTACTGATTTGTCAACTTCCAAATTCACAGGCCTGCATGAACAGGGCTTGTACAGAGTGGTGGGAGTTAACTCTAAAGTAAATAACCTTATCAAAGTTGCCTTAGGTGAGTTGTCTGCCCTTGGTTTAACCTACTTCCATTTATATTGTCCTTAAAGTCATATTTTTTTAATCACAATATGAGTCCAGTAAATTTTGACATGAAATGTGTAGCAGAGTTATACATATTTTAAAGTGTATTTAACATGTAGTATGAGGCTGCGAGTTAATATGCTCACATGCAGATTTTATACGAAAATTTACAAAAACTTTTGTTTAATTTTCAGATCCAAAGAAGACAGAGAAAATCAATTTTGATGATCCATCTGTGTGGGAGACAAAGACAATCACTAGTGCTGTGAAGAATTACCTTAGGTGCGTACTGAAATATCAATGCTTAGCCAATAGGGTACCTTGTGTACACGCTGATATATCAATGCTTAGCCAATAGGGTACCTTGTGTACACGCTGATATATCAATGCTTAGCCAATAGGGTACCTTGGGTTCACCCTGATATATCAATGCTTAGCCAATAGGGTACCTTGGGTACACCCTGATATATCAATGCTTAGCCAATAGGGTACCTTGGGTACACCCTGATATATCAATGCTTAGCCAATAGGGTACCTTGGGTACACGCTGATATATCAATGCTTAGCCAATAGGCACCTTGGGTACATGCTGATATATCAATGCTTAGCCAATAGGGTACCTTGGGTACACCCTGATATATCAATGCTTAGCAAATAGGGTACCTTGGGTACACCCTGATATATCAATGCTTAGCCAATAGGCACCTTGGGTACAGGCTGATATATCAATACTTAGCCAATAGGGTACCTTGTGTACACGCTGATATATCAATGCTTAGCCAATAGGGTACCTTGGGTACACGCTGATATATCAATGCTTAGCCAATAGGGTACCTTGGGTACACCCTGATATATCAATGCTTAGCCAATAGGGTACCTTGGGTACACCCTGATATATCAATACTTAGCCAATAGGGTACCTTGGGTACACCCTGATATATCAATGCTTAGCCAATAGGGTACCTTGGGTACACCCTGATATATCAATGCTTAACCAAGTTTTGATATAAGCAATTATTAAGCTTTAACTTTTCTCTGAGTCTACAAGGGATTTCTATATATTTGCTTCTCAGTTCAAACTTTTCTTAGTAGGTGGCCTTTTAAGAGTTGAGTTGTTTTTTTCTTGCTGGTTGAGCTGATATGTTGTTGATAATTTCGCTAAGCTCTCAGTTTTTGTCATGATAGCTAAATATTTTATTTTGATTTAGTGATTTTACACAGAGAACAAAACTTTACTATGTTCTTTTTCTGACACTCCCTGAGGTCAACTCTCATAGGCTTTCAGTAAATAAAACTTGACCACCTAAGACAGCGGTTCTCAACCTGGGGGTCGTGACCCCTTTAGGAGTCAAATGATCCTTTCACAAGGGTCGCTTAAGACCATCGGAAAACACATATACCCTCCCATATGAAGAAGCAACGAAAATAATTGTGGTTGGGGGTCGCCACAATGTGAGGAAATATATTAAAGGTTCGCATTATTAGAAAGGTTGAGAACCACTGACCTTAGAGCTGCTTTAATATGCCAAAAAGTCATTTAAAAAAATATAAATGCTGTTATATATTTCTTTTGGACAATACACCAAAGAAAAGGTCTCCTGCTGTTCTGCTCCTCAGAGATATAAACAATGAGCTAGGATTATTTATAAAAATTGTTTAAACGGAAACACTTTAATTTCTTTGATGAAAGTTGACATTAAATTTTGTATTTCAGATCATTACCAGAGCCTCTCATGACCTTTCACCTCCATGATAATTTTATCAAGGCTGCCAGTAAGTGCTTTATTTATAGTATTATCAAGGCTGCCAGTCAGTGCTCCATTGAGAATCATGTCACCACTGTAAACTCTTATTTCTGATGTTTATTTTGCCCAGTTTCCAAAGTTATTAAAATTGTATTGAATTGCGAAAAATATCTGTCCGTTTGATGGACTGAGGTCAGTGTAACATGTATTTAAGAAATGTTGGCACCTCCCATCCTCAGAGCAAGAGAGTAAAACCTTGAGGATATTGGATGTGCACAGATATGTACATCAGCTCCCAAAAGCCAACTTCGAGATGTTGGATTTGTTGATAGGGCATTTGAAAAGGTGGGTGCACTTTCTTGAATCAAATTTTATTCTGTGCTGAGAAGTGGCTCTCTGGCTAAAACAATTTTACTCTATAAATTACGGGATCAGCTTATTCTAATTTATGCTATGCGTCTGAAAATAATGTGCACATGTAGGTTCATAAGTCAGCATTCCCGAAGGTCTAAGTAATTTGATTGCTTCTCTTCTTATTTTGTCTAATAGTAACTATGAAACGCACATGCACATCTTCACCTTTGGTAGAAAATTAGGCTCACTAGCTTGTGTATGTGTGTGTGACTGGGATAAGGGAGCAAATCCTTACCGTTAACCCAGGAGTTGTGGAACCTTGTTTGACTTTGCAGATATGATACCCCAAAGGGTTTATTTTTCTAATCGGGTCAGCATTGGAAAAAGAAATATTTAAATTATCCTCATGGCTTACAAGTCTGAATCATTTTATTTACAACAAAAATGTCAAACTTACAATATAGCCTTAAATAATGACTGCTCCCTTGAAAGCCCTTCAGCATCAGAAATTCAAGACCCCAAATAGCAATGCTTATTTCCATGCATGAACATGCCGTACATGATTGATGTTTTACAGGGTGGCATCTGAGTGTGAGACAAATAAAATGACGGTAGCCAACTTGGGCGTGTGCTTTGGCCCCTCGCTGATGCGCCCAGAAGAAGAGTCGATGGCAGCAATCATGGACATAAAATTTTGTAACATAGTTGTGGAGATCCTCATTAACAATTATGATCAGGTAATGAATGGCAGCCGCAGTGATAACAAAAATTTTAAAAATATAACATTCCTGTGGTCCAGTGTTTACTTCAGTCGTCTTTTTCTTGCATAGGTAGTTTAAAAAACTTTTATATCACAAAATGCATTAGAACAGTGCATCAGGGACCGGTGCCTGATCTTTTAATTATTGTTCTTTTTATTTGACCAAAGATATGTCATAAAATATTTTAAACCCGTAATATTTATAAATAGACTTGATTAACCTTTTAATGCTGCCCGTTTATAGTTTTTTGTTGTTGTTGTTAAGACTGTTTTATAATAAAAAAAATAGACAGAATAAAACTTCCCTCCCTTGATGGTAGGTTTCTTCAAGTAGGAGGATATAGCAATGTTTTTTTTCATGAGCGAATCATCTTGTATTCAACATTTTGTCCCTTTCAAAATTTAAATTACAGCCAGTGAGTTTAGGTTTTTGATGTGTTTCCTCTTCAGGGTGAAGGGGTGCCGTGGGAAAATAAGCTAATCAAACTTGCACTATTTTTGGACATCTAACGAGCCGAAATGTTTCACATTAATGCTTTCCCCTTGGGTCATGTGGATTCAGTCATCTTTTCCATCATTTATGTGTGGTATCTGAGCCCTCCTGTTATCCAAAGAAACATTGCTTGGGGTTGCCAGTTTAGACATATTTTATTTTAATGCCAATTTTTTAAATTAAATTATTGGCCTGGCCTTGTTTTATGTGATCTTTTAATTGATAGGTTTCACATTTCTCTAAATTTTAATCTGGCACATAGCGTCAGCTTCCCTGGCTCCTCTTGCTTGATGCACACAGCGGGCACATCCATATGGGGAATGCTACAATAGAAGACTATGCTTATGTTGTACAAAATTTGCTTGTATTCCCTCCTACTTGTTAGAAACTATCAAGAAATAGAGAACAATTTTTTAATTAAAATCCTGCACAACTCCTTATATAATATTTAGTTTTCAAAATATAATATTCAGTTACATTCACTTAAACATGCCTTCTTAAAAATTATGACCAAGAAATGTGAAAAAATTTGAATATATTTTGGAATTGATGGGTTAATTAATATTCCAATTTGACTTGTTTAAAATACATTAACAATTCAAGGTAATTTAAAAAAAAAAAAAAAAAAAAAAAATCCTTGAAGGTATTTTCCTTGCCCAGTAACCAATATAAATTATGTATCCAAAAAGAAAAATAACAATAATGGTATGTTAAAATAAATAAACTTGAACATATAAATTAAAAGGTCTACTCTCTAATTAAAGTTTTAGTGGTCAGAATGTTCAATTGTGCTGTTTTTGTTTTTTATCAACAGATCTTTAAAAGTCCACCAGATGGTGCTGACATCAGTGAATCCAGAGTTCTTCCCAACATGACCCCTTCAACCCCGAGACTTCAGGGTGCTGCGGCCAATCACAGTGATGTCCCACCACCTAAAGGTTCTGCTTCTGGGGCTGCCAGGAACCATTCAGCCGGCCAGGTCCCTCGCATTTATGCAAACCAAGCTCCAGTCCACCCCAGCGCAGCTGGCGCCAGGGGAAAGATGAGACCTGTGCAGATATTCAATGCCAATACTGGAGGTGAGAGTTTGTTGACTGAAACTGTTCTTTGTCAGCTCTAAGATTCTTTGTTTAAACATAGGGAAAAATAGCAGGAGGATTCAAACTTTGAAGTCAAAAAGCTTCTGATATTGTCAAGATTATAGCAGTATTTAAAGATTTTTTTCTGGTCTTTTAAGAACACAGTGTTGGTGATTCTTTATTTCATTCCTTGTACAATTATAAAGCCCTTTATATCTACTTTGATATAAGCTTAGTTTCTAGGTGACACATAAATTTATTATTGATACTATGTTGCTTGGTAATAGTCTAGTTTCCATACTGACCGCTGGTCAATCAATTTACATGGGGTATGTGAATGGTTTATTTAGAAGAAAATTTATCTACTATGATGCATATCGTATTTCAGGGTTTGACATACACAGCAGCACCAGCAGCAGTACAGAATCACTCAATTCAGCTAAAAGCAACCTGTCTCCCCGTGCCCTCGTGGGAGGTTCGACGCCACCCATACTGGACTCTGGGTTGCGGCGGGGGTCAAATAATAAAGAACAAACCATGTACTCAAATGTCAACGCATTAGGTAAACAGCCACAGTTTGAGACCTCCAAGGATGTTGTAACTTGTATTGTCACTGGGCTGTTGTACTTTGTTCATAAAGGGGATGTTGTGTTGTTGCTTTTTTAAACAGGAATAAGGAAGCATTATTCAACACTGGCAACAAAAAAGCTACGCTTGCAATATTAGAGGCTACAATATATAAAAACAAGTTTTGATGAATTTGGAACTATCATTATTTTATACTATCACTATAGGACTGATAGACATTATTTTATACTATCACTATAGGACTGATAGACATTATTTTATACTATCACTATAGGACTGATAGACATTATTTTATACTATCACTATAGGACTGATAGACATTATTTTATACTATCACTATAGGACTGATAGACATTATTTTATACTATCACTATAGGACTGATAGACATTATTTTATACTATCACTATAGGACTGATAGACATTATTTTATACTATCACTATAGGAATGATAGACATTATTTTATACTATCACTATAGGAATGATAGACATTATTTTATACTATCACTATAGGACTGATAGACATTATTTTATACTATCACTATAGGACTGATAGACATTATTTTAAAAAAAAATACTGATGGATCTTAGTATGAGTGGTTTTAAAAATATTTTAAAAAATGGTTCAATTCTTGTTCTGGGTTAACAGTCTTGAAATGTTTGCTGTATTTGTCAGATATGGAAGAGGAAGTTCTGTACTCTCCCACTCAGAGCTGTAAGGGAAATAACTCAATTTAAAGCCAACTCCTCTAGATAGACTAGACATTGGCCAGTAAAATGCTAGACATATTCAAGCCATGGTCTGCTAGAGAATACCTTATTTTTGTGTCCCTGATTTAGTTGATACAATATTTCCTTGCTAGTTTCACACACATACTAATGCTACTTAAGATGGCATCCACTTAAAGTGAATTGAGAAACTGCTGGAAACATTGATAGAATCAAACCAAAGCCCAGATGTTAAGCTGAACTGTCTCCTACCCATTTTACACTTGTCATTTAGGTCACTTGTTGTGACAGACAGAGTGTCCCTTGTCTAAACCATTAGGTTACTTGTTGTGACAGAGTGTCCCTTGTCTAAACCATTAGGTCACTTGTTGTTACAGAGTGTCCCTTGTCTAAACCATTAGGTTACTTGTTGTGACAGAGTGTCCCTTGTCTAAACCATTAGGTCACTTGTTGTTACAGAGTGTCCCCTGTCTAAACCATTAGGTTACTTGTTGTGACAGAGTGTCCCTTGTCTAAACCAGTAACTGTTTCTATTTTACTCTCTGCTCATGCTCTGTGTCGCAGACCGTAAGTTGTGCTTTCAGTATGACATACTTTTTAAAAAATTTTTTTATTTGTAAACAAGATTTTTATTTTATATTTAAGTCACTGGTGACAGAACCATTTATGCTGTCATTTTCTTTCTCTTGACATTTTTTTTCATTTACTTTATAATAGAACTTTTCCTCTTTTTCCTTACATAATAAGACAGCTGATATTTTATTTAAATTGAAGGACTTATTCCATGGAATATCTCAAACTAACCTGCAGTACCAAAAGCTTTTTTTTTTTTTAAAGTTGTTAAAATTAACTTTTGCATAAATCCTCTCTTAAAGCCTATTGCCATTCAGACTCATAAACCTTTGACAAAATACTATATGTTTGCTTCAATTCTAAAAGAAAAAAAATAAAAATCTTTAAATAAGCTAGAAATGTCTTGCACAGTCAGCTTGTCCACACATACACTCCCGTTACTGCATGGATCCTGTTAGCCATAATAGCAGATATGAAAATATCCTTTACAAAAAAAATGTGTTGTGAAGAGACAGCTTGTAGTTAAAATCCTCCCTTAAAGCCTGCTCCATTAGATCCTCTCATTTATTCCTTTTGTTTATGCAACTGTGACATGACAATGTGATGTATCTGTTCAGGTCCCCGAGGAATCAACTCTGATGTGTATTATTCAGCATTCCAACCCCCACGTATGTCTTTACAGCACACCACATTTTGCTGCATCCATTATCTGTGTGTCATGGTTTTGTTGACTTCAGTGTCAAACTTAGAAAATCATTGGCTTTTTAGATTCTTGACTTAAAATAACATTTCAGCAATCAGTTTTTCATCAGTTTCACTTTTTAAAAAATTATGTTTTTTTAATTTTTTTATTTCCCCTCTTCAAACAAACTTTCTCTTGCTTGAGTTTGATAACAGTGACTTTGTGTGTGTAGATTTAATACCACCTCCAATAAGACTTTGTTTTATTAAACTGAACAAAATATTTAGGTTGTAGATGTAGTGCTTGTAAATGAAAGAGATATTGTTGTCAGGATTTTAAAACCAAAAGCACCTTGTTGTTTTGTATGTTGTCATGTTTAGGACTGCCATCATATAGAATTTGTTTCAGGAAAGGAGGGTAACCAAAAATTGTGTTATTTCTGACCTGAATGGCTCAGAGCTTTGTAATTGAAAACTGTGCTGCCTTTATTTGCCTTGCTCAGTGCTGACAGCTTTGTGGTGCTGGCAGCTTCATGGTGCTGGGATTTTAGCATGACTTTAGGAGTCAATTTTTGTAATGAGTTGAGTATTGGACTAACAGGAGTTACTTTTGCAGTATGCAGTTGTGTGGTCAACAATCAATGCTTGTTTGTAGATTACCATCAATCCTTTCTTAGGTTAGATTACCATCAATCGTTTCTTAGGTTAGATTACCATTAACCTTTTCTTAGGTTAGATTACCATCAATCTTTTCTTAGGTTAGATTACCATCAACCCTTTCTTAGGTTAGATTACCATCAATCTTTTCTTAGGTTAGATTACCATCAATCTTTTCTTAGGTTAGATTACCATCAATCTTTTCTTAGGTTAGATTGCCATCAACCCTTTCTTTGGTTAGATTGCCGTCAATCTTTTCTTAGGTTAGATTACCATCAATCCTTTCTTAGGTTAGATTGCCATCAACCCTTTCTTTGGTTAGATTGCCGTCAATCTTTTCTTAGGTTAGATTACCATCAACCCTTTCTTAGGTTAGATTACCATCAATCTTTTCTTAGGTTAGATTACCATCAATCTTTTCTTAGGTTAGATTACCATCAATCCTTTCTTAGGTTAGATTGCCATCAACCCTTTCTTTGGTTAGATTGCCGTCAATCTTTTCTTAGGTTAGATTACCGTCAATCTTTTCTTAGGTTAGATTACCATCAATCCTTTCTTTGGTTAGATTACCATCAACCCTTTCTTTGGTTAGATTGCCATCAATCTTTTCTTAGGTTAGATTACCATCAATCTTTTCTTAGGTTAGATTACCATCAATCTTTTCTTAGGTTAGATTGCCATCAACCCTTTCTTTGGTTAGATTGCCGTCAATCTTTTCTTAGGTTAGATTACCATCAATCCTTTCTTAGGTTAGATTGCCATCAACCCTTTCTTTGGTTAGATTGCCGTCAATCTTTTCTTTGGTTAGATTGCCGTCAACCCTTTCTTTGGTTAGATTGCCATCAACCCTTTCTTTGGTTAGATTGCTGTCAACTTTTTCTTAGGTTCTCTCACTTTATATTTGAAAACTATATGGCATTTTTAGTTGCACTTAAATCAATGTAGATAATACTACAATTTGAATCTTAGATCAATGTAGATAATACTACAATTTGAATCTTAGATCAATGTAGATAATACTACAATTTGAATCTTAGATCAATGTAGATAATACTACAATTTGAATCTTAGATCAATGTAGATAATACTACAATTTGAATCTTAGATCAATGTAGATAATACTACAATTTGAATCTTAGATCAATGTAGATAATACTACAATTTGAATCTTAGATCAATGTAGATAATACTACAATTTGAATCTTAGATCAATGTAGATAATACTACAATTTGAATCTTAGATCAATGTAGATAATACTACAATTTGAATCTTAGATCAATGTAGATAATACTACAATTTGAATCTTAGATATCAGTTTCATAAATTGAACAATGAAACTGCATCTAGATTTGTTGTTTTTAAAATATATCTAACCCTTCTTTATAGTTATTTATTTTCATTACACTATTAGATAGATGAACAAGCTACACATATTCATTACTAGTAGATCTTTCATAGAATCAATCAAATAAATACAGTGAAACAGACCTTGTCATTAAAAAAAATTCTTTGCTTTGCTTTTTGCACTTATTTTGGATAATTTTTGATGAATTCATGGCTTTATAGACTATTTTATTGCCTGTTAAGTTAAGTTTTTGCACAAGTAGTCTCTGAAAATTGAGGCAGTGAAAAATCATTAAAGTCAGCAATTTCTATGAATAAGATTGTTTAAAGTGTTTAGGAAACATAAAGAATGAAAGACACTGAGATGTGTTTCAAGTCGAACACAGATGTCAGTGTTGGCCTGTGACCGAGTCTCACACAGATGTCAGTGTTGGTCTGTGACCGAGTCTCACACAGATGTCAGTGTTGTCTGTGAACGAGTCTCACACAGATGTCAGTGTTGGTCTGTGACCGAGTCCCACACAGATGTCAGTGTTGGTCTGTGACCGAGTCCCACACAGATGTCAGTGTTGGTCTGTGACCGAGTCTCACACAGATGTTAGTGTTGGTATCTTGAAATCAGTGTTGATATCTAACACAGATGTCAGTTTGAATGTCTAACACAGACTTTGATGTGTTAATAACAGTTCTATAAAAAATGATAAAAACGTTAAGTTTGCATGCTTCAAATGGCTTGCCTGGTACATTGAAGGAAAACATTTTTTTATTTATTATCCTATGGAGCACCCATATTTTTCATACAGTAAGAAAATATTCTGTTAATTAATGAGTGATCAATAAATTACAAAAATATTATATATTTTTTTAACATCATTATTTCTTAAATTAAAAACTCAGATGTTTCTTTTATGCTTGTGCTGAGTTTGAATTAAGTAACAAGTTAAGGAGAAGACATTTAATACAAAGTATCTGTTCCAGACTTGACAAATGCTGGAAATGTAGATATATATACAGAAGGCTGACATTTGGACTTGGATGTTTTAAAAGTACACATATTTTAGGAGAGTACAGCCAAACACACATTAAGATGCAGATTAACGCATATATTTTTCTCCCTCCTAACTTCCAGCATCAAGATTCAATCTGAACCTGTCTGGAAGTGATACCCCTGCCTTGTGAGTGACCATGTCTGTCTGTGTGTTTGTGTGTGTGTGTGTGGTGTAGGGCTCTAGGCACCTGTTCACTCGTTAGCTTTAGTTAAAGAGAGCTTATTATTACTTAGCATATTTTTGTGTGTTTTTTTTTGTTTTGTTTATTTGGTTGCCTACAATGTCATATTATTATTATTCCTTCACTATTATCACATTGGTTGACTTCTTATGGAGCTTTTAGTCAAACAGTGCGAGGCATGGGACGTTTTTTTGATTCCATTAATAATTAAACAAGTGCTGCATAGATTTTTTATAACATTAACCAGGCGGTTGTAGTATAGGTTGGAATAATGAACTCTGCTCTGTGATCTCAACCTTAGTGCATTCCAGCCCCCCCCCCCCTGCCCCCTCGTTATGTACATAATATATGCATGGCCCCTAACAATAATCTGCCAGCGCACAGGAAAGAGTTTTACAATGAAACCAAAGTGCTGCCACATGTACAACAGGATTTGTAAACAAAACCTCAAAACCTGTAACAGTTCACCATAATCGTATTTGTTTCTAATTGATCAAAACCAAAGTTCTGAGCAAAAACTGCAGAAAATGAAAGATGACTGATTGTAATTTGCATAATCTCACAAAGATATTCGTTTACAGTTAGCTGAAAACAAGGAATAATTGTCTCGTTCCACCAGGCAGTTTCAATACTTCCATGCACCAAGAGGTTGAGACAAACTCATTTGAACATTGACTTGTAGAGTGCAGTGCAATGAAATTCTAATATTGGACTGAAACGCTTGATCAACTAAAGTACATCTCTTTTTACCATGGTCAGAATTCCCAATGAATTAGATTAATTTAAGATGATAATGAGAAATGAAAACACAGCTTTATATATATATATAAATAACAAAAAACAATTAAAAGGCTGTTTTGTTTTTTTTGTCAATACATTAAAATAAGACAATCCTAAACACAGAAATATTATAGAGAATTTAAGATGAAACGTAGTTGCATTTCCTGCTTGTGTTTACTTAAAAATCCCTTTTTTGCCAATACACCCATCACACTCCTGATTGAAGCTTTTTTTCCTAGCCAAGTTTATATTTTTTTTTTTATTACAGCAGATTATATTTAGCTCTCGTTCTTGACCCAGTGTTTGCGTCTGTGCAAAATTTCTTTTTTTGTTTTTTGTTTTTTTGTTTGTCTGGCCATGGGTGGACAAGTGTCCTCCGTTTGAATAACTCTCCCTTGTTCCTCTCCCTTTACTAAACAGTGGAAGTGTGAAGAAAAGAAGCAGCAATGACTACTCGTCTGGCCAGGCAGCAATGTGAGCATGCAATCGTAGTTGTTAATTTCTACAATTAAACTATTCAAGCAGTGTCTTGGCGGTCGACCGTCAAGACCAGACAGTTTGCAATCGCCGGGTGTCTTGGCAGTCCACCGTCTAAACAAGACAGGTTGCAATCACCTGGTGTCTTGGTGGTCCTCCGTCTAAACAAGTCAGTTTGCAATCGCCTGGTGTCTTGGCGGTCCACCGTCTAAACAAGACAGTTTGCAATCGCCTGGTGTCTTGGAGGTCCACCATCTAGACAAGACAGTTTGCAATCACCTGGTGTCTTGGCGGTCCACGGTCTATACAAGACAGTTTGCAATTGCCTGTATTGGCTGCATGTACATTTGCAAGATGTTTTAACTTGATAATTTTTTATTTTTTTTGGATATCCTCCTTAAAGTTAAAGTAAGATTTTCAATAGTGTTAATCTTAATGTTTTAATGGATTTCCATTCCCTAGTGAAGTGTTTTTCAAACAAAAGAAGAAAAAAAATGGCCTGAAACGTGTATGGAATGTGTATCTGATAGTTTATTTGTTGTATGTGAATTTTGTCTTTAAAAAAAATGTTGGCCACATATAGCTTATTTGTTGTATGTGTATGTTGACTTTATTAGAATGTTGGCCACAGATTCATTGTTTAATTGACTGCCAATCTTCACTTCTTTTTTTGTTTTTTTTTGTTGTTGTTGTTTCGATTACTTTGCAGTGTTGTATTTCATTATCTCTATGTGTTCTTCATATAATTTCAAATACAGTGCTCTCTCAATTTCAAACAAATAGTTGGTTGCTTTACATATAACGTGTGTATCCATTCCTCTCCTGGAGTGCCCCACTCAAAATAAGCTGATGTCCCTCAAGGGATGCAAAATCAGCTTGTTTATTGTGGCCATACCACCACCCCCCCGCCCCCTTTTTTCCTCCTTTGCTTCACCATTTAATGTTCAACCTATCAAATTTCCTGCAGATAATCATTGCATTTTTCTGTTTACATTTCACCAGGGGTCAAATCATTTTTTTTTCTTTCTTTTTTTTTCTGTAAAATTTGCACAAAATTGTATTGTTTTCAAAAAGGGATTTTGTTAGTCCTTATGTAATTCTGCAAGAGTTTGAAAAGCACTGCACTACTGAAAAGATTTTTTTAAAAATAGGTTAATCCTATCCATGTTCATGTGTTTTGTACAAAGTAAGAAACTATTATTTTTATAGTGGCAACCCTTCACATTAAACAAGAGCATTGCATGCCGGGTAATAAGAGCTTTGAATAGTCAATTGCTTATTTGGACATTTCTAATATACGTATTTTTTAAAATCAGTTTAAGATGCACGTTAGCATCTGAAAATAGAGGATTAATTTTTTTTTTATATAATAAGTAACTTAAGTTAGTACTAATAATATAACTGTAATTGCTTCAATGCTTTGAATAATTTTTACTAATTTTGTGTACATTTATTTGAATAAAACTATTTGAAAGACTTTATATTTGAGGCCGTACCTTCAGAGCACAACTCTAGAACCCCTGCACACTATTGGAGGTAGTATATGATTTCTACTTCATTAAACTCCCCAGGTCTACGTCAACCCAAGGCAGCCTGACAGGCAGTGTAACTAGCTTATCATCTAGTAAACCACCACGCAGGTATTGATTAAATAGCTAGCTTATTTTCTAGTAAACCACCAGGCAGGTATTGATTAAATAGCTAGTTTATCTTCTAGTAAGTAAACCACCACTCAGGTATTAATTAAATTACTAGCTTATCTTCTAGTAAACCACGACCCAGGTATTGATTAATTACTAGATTATCTTCTACTTCTAGTAAACCACAACTTAGGTACCGGTATTGAATACATAGCTAGCTAATTTTCTAGTAAACCACCAGGCAGGTATTGATTAAATAGCTAGTTTATCTTCTAGTAAGTAAACCACCACTCAGGTATTAATTAAATTACTAGCTTATCTTCTAGTAAACCACGACCCAGGTATTGATTAATTACTAGGTTATCTTCTACTTCTAGTAAACCACAACTTAGGTACCAGTATTGAATACATAGCTAGCTAATCTTCTAGTAAACCACCACCCAGGTATTGATTAATTACTAGATTATCTTGTAGTAAATCACAAAAAATTGGTATTGATTAAATAGCTAACTTATCTTCTAGTAAACCACCTTGCAGGAATTGATTAAATAGCTAGCATATCGTCTAGTTAACCACCCCGCAGGTATTGATTAAATAGCTAGCTAATCTTCTAGTTAAATAAACCACCACAGAGGTGTTGATTAAATAGCTAGCTTATCTTCTAGTAAAATAAACCACCACAGAGGTGTTGATTAAATAGCTAGCTTATCTTCTAGTAAAATAAACCACCACAGAGGTGTTGATTAAATAGCTAGCTTATCTTCTAGTAAACCACCAGGCAGGTATTAACCAGGTCATATTCTAGCAAACCACTTTTTTTGGTTTATAGATTGAGATTAACCTTAGAACTATTTAACATAGGATATTTAACAATATAGTTTTAAAACCATTGCTTTAACATAGAATTAATGTACATTCGATATTGAGTGTAGTCAACTAATAACACAATGTTGTAGTCGTTGTCAAGGATTTTTACAATGGCATTGAATCCGATTGATCACATCTTAAAAAACCTTTCAATCAGATTTACATTTAAAACAAATAAAAATGGAACAGGAATTGTTCTTGTGCCCTTCATTTAATAGCAGCTTAGGTCAAATGTCTCAATGATCAAAGATTAATTGATTGACCAGATACATAAACAGGATAACAGGTCTTGGTGTAGATTTAAGTGAGTCGGATGAACTGGTTGTAACTGTGTTGGTCTGATGAACCAGATATGTGTTGGTCTGATGAACCAGATATGTGTTGGTCTGATGAACCAGATATGTGTTGGTCTGATGAACCAGATATGTGTTGGTCTGATGAACCAGATATGTGTTGGTCTGATGAACCAGATATGTGTTGGTCTGATGAACCAGATATGTGTTGGTCTGATGAACCAGGTCATATAAGGAATGCCTCCCTACTTTGGGGCTCCGCATTTCACGCCCTCACGCCTTCGTGGGTTTTCTCCTAAGATACATCCTGCAGATTTTTTGCTATTTGCCTGGATTTTTGCGGGCTACGGCATACATATATTTATTATTTTAATTATTTTTGCTGTAAAATAAGCATTTTCTACCCTTAAAAATTGAAAACGAGCGTGTGTACTACTGTACTTTAAAGTGTATGAGAGCTTATGAAGTGTTGACAAGAGTGTTGGAAAGTTTATAGGAGTGTGGTGTTTATTAAGCTTTAAGCTATATATAAATCCTACTTCGTGGTGTTTAGTATTTCAGAATTTAACCGCGGTGATATTTGAGGCATTACTGTAAATGAATTGGTCTAATGAACGGGGTTGTATATATCAGACTTGTTCACTCTCACAATGTACGATTTTGAGATGTCTTACGGTTGTACGCCAAGAACTGTCAGGACTACCATTTTACAAGACCAAGTTAAAAAATGGATTCTGGTGGTTACAATTTTAAAATAATAATAAATAAAATGTTTTTTGTATTTGGAGAAAAGTACTGATTTTTTTTTTTTTTTTTTTTTTTATTACATAAATGTGATCATCTGATGAACTGGCTCGAATATGTGTTGGTTAGATGAACTGGGTTGTAAATATGTTTTGGTCTGATGAACTTTGCCGAGGCCGTTTAAGGTATTAGATAGATAGCAGCATGCAAGGATTGGCTTACTCATTAACAGCTCCCAGCCTTGGCTCATCTTCTGTACTCTTTAACAGCAGCAGGCATTAATGGCTCAGTCAGACTATTTTGTCTGATTATTCCCTGAGATGTTTGTCTGGTTTTAACAAAAGTATATGCTGTCCTGTTGATATGTTGCTTGCATGTTTCTCAGAACTGTGATAACAAGGTACAGGTGCGTGGCTGACAGTGAGACAGAGTTGTCCTTTGAAGCCAACCAGCTCATTACAAATGGTAAGTTGTCAGCCTTCACTAAATGTCTGTCTACTCAGTGAACCCAGTTCACATTTGTTGGTAACTCATTGAATCTTATATCTCTGATGTTTAATGACTCAGCACAGCTGACTCTGATAAAGTCTATTCACATTGTATTGTGCATTGGACACAGCTGACTCTGATAAAGTCTATTCACACTGTATTGTGCATTGGGCACAGCTGACTGATAAAGTTAAAGTCTATTCACAATGTATTGTGCATTGAGCACAGTTGACTCTGCATCTTCTTCTGTGTTGCCTTATGGACAGTGTTGTCAAGGCCGATGTTCATTGGATTGCGGTCACTTTGAGAGATATCCTTTTCATAAGTCTTGAGCTAAGCACTGTAATTGTATGCTTAAGATGTTCCAAGCAGAGCACTTTCTGTGTGGAGCGACCATTACTTCCAGGCTCAGAGTTCCATTCCTTCTTCTTCAGACTATTTTCTTTCTACTGTGATCATGGTAGCTTATTACTGCTTTAATTCTTGGGATGTAGCTTTTATCATTTTCTTTGTATCACTGTCATAAATAAACTGTTGGGATAATGATATCACCGACATAGATAAACAGTTTGGATAATGATATTACTGACATAAATAAACAGTTGGGATAATGATAATACCGACATAAATAAACAGTTGGGATAATGATATTACTGACATAAATAAACAGTTGGGATAATGATATCACCAACATAAATAAACAGTTGAGATAATGATATTTCTGACATAAATAAACAGTTGGGATAATGATATTACTGACATAAATAAACAGTTGGGATAATGATATCACCAACATAAATAAAGACCAACACACATAGCTTGTTGTATACACAATGTAGTCTACAAGACAGACCAACAAACATAGCTTGTTGTATACACAATGTAGTCTACAAGACAGACCAACAAACATAGCTTGTTGTATACACAATGTAGTCTACAAGACAGAGACAAACACACATAGCTTGTTGTATACACAATGTAGTCTACAAGACAGACCAACAAACATAGCTTGTTGTATACACAATGTAGTCTACAAGACAGACCAACAAACATAGCTTGTTGTATACACAATGTAGTCTACAAGACAGAGACAAACACACATAGCTTGTTGTATACACAATGTAGTCTACAAGACAGACCAACAAACATAGCTTGTTGTATACACAATGTAGTCTACAAGACAGACCAACAAACATAGCTTGTTGTATACACAATGTAGTCTACAAGACAGAGACAAACACACATAGCTTGTTGTATACACAATGTAGTCTACAAGACAGAGACAACACACATAGCTTGTTGTACACACAATGTAGTCTACAAGACAGACAACACACATAGCTTGTTGTATACACAATGTAGTCTACAAGACAGAGACAAACACACATAGCTTGTTGTATACACAATGTAGTCTACAAGACAGAGACCAACACACATAGCTTGTTGTATACACAATGTAGTCTACAGGAAATTGTTTGCTGTCAAAGGCTTTTGGGCAGAAACATTCACTTTCTGTTAATGTCCTTCTTCTAAATGATTAACTCTCTTGAGATGGCTGAGTGTTTTGACAAAAAAGACAAAAGGCCGATCTACCCTTATCTATCTTATTGCTTCAACCTGAACGCAGTCAATATTATAAAGTCGGCAACATCATTTCCTAATACTGAAGTTTTCAATGATTGTGTTCCCTCTTCTTACATCCATCCACTATTGCTTGTTTCAGTGAGGCCATCTCGGGAGCCTGGTTGGCTTGAGGGCACCCTTGATGGCAAGACAGGGATCATACCGGAAAACTATGTGGAGTTTATAGACAGCTAGAATCTGACCTGGACTTTTAACATCAAATGGGAGCAGCCACAAACCAACCACATCCTGAGACCTCCGCAGCAACACAGTTTGCAACAACCCGCTTTTCACCGCCGTCCCGGCAGAACTTTTCCTTGCAACCCGTTTCAGTTGGGAAACGAACAAGCTACTCAAAACAAGTTAAGTTACTGTAAGAGACAATTTTATGTTGTCTTTTAATAGTAATGGAATTAACAGAAAGCTGTGTACAGATATTTTTTTAAATGTATGTGTATGATGAATTACAGAGTTGGAAAGTTATAAGAGGGGAGCAAGTAGATTTTAATCATCTGGCCTTGAAGAAATCTGAAAAAAATTTTTAATGTAAGTTTATTAGAACATTAGAATTGTTGGCTATTGAAGTTTAAATGTGATCTCCTGAACTTCAGAAAGATTCATCCTCCCAACTGGCGGTCGGGTCCAAGAAAGTTTTTTCTTCTTTTTTTTATCTCTTGACATGCAAATATGTTGCAGGGTAAAGAATGCAACAGTAACATTTGAATATATAGAGGTCATAATAATATATGCTGGCAACCTACATGGCTAGTAATCATGGCATTGGATGGCCATGATATGCAATAATCATGGAATGCTTGTGGACAGTTCAAGGATTATAATACAAGGAATATGTGATGTTTTTTTTAGCAATGGACGATGTCCAGTGACTTTACAATTTGAAGGAATGGCTACACTGTCAGGATTAATAATATGTAATTTTATTATGAAGAGACATTTTTTATGATTGCCTACAGCTGTTTCATGCATATTGATATAATTATTTTAATTGGGATAGTGAAGTGATAATTGATTGTGACTGACACAGTTGTGTTCGTAATGGTTAGTACACAATGGTTAGTACACAATGGTTAGTACACAAGATCAGGATAGTTATTATTGGATGTAATCCAGTGATAAAATAGGTCAATAACACATTGAAACCTTTAAATGGTTGAGACGCCAGTAAAGCAGAAATGGTGAATCTACAACACATGTCATAAATGACACACTATGACATTAAGTAACATTCTTGATGTCATCAAAAAAACCCAAACTATTCAACCCATTCAAAATGTTCAACTTATCAGTTCAATTCAAAATGTCTATTTCAATCCCAACTACCATTGTTTGTAGCCATTGTTGTCAGAATATTTCATTGATAATTTGGCCATTGGTCAGTGGGTCAATTATTTCTTTGTATACTTCATGGAGGTAGAAATCAGTTTTCAAGAATATTGTGTGAGCAACTCATGTTAAAAGTTCAAAAGCTGGTGTTTGCAAATGAGCCAGGCCTCACCTAGCCACATGTGCTCCACAGCAGGCCTCACCTAGCCACATGTGCTCCACAGCAGGCCTCACCTAGCCACATGTGCTCCACAGCAGGCCTCGCCTAGCCACATGTGCTCCACAGCAGGCCTCACTAAGCACCATACGCTCTATGGCAGGCATGTCAAACGGAGGGTCCTCCCAGGGCCATGTGGGTCACATTTGTATGGTCATGAGGGATAAACAACAAATAATTGAAGTCATTTAATAAAAATTATTGCAGAATATTTTTATAACTTAAACTTAGAAACATACAATGTTCATATAAAAGGTTTAGAAACATACAATGTTCATATAACAGGTTTAGAAACATACAATGTTCATATAAAAGGTTTAGAAACATACAATGTTCATATAACAGGTTTAGAAACATACAATGTTCATATAAAAGGTTTAGAAACATACAATGTTCATATAACAGGTTTAGAAACATACAATGTTCATATAAAGGTTTACAAACATACAATGTTCATATAAAAGGTTTAGAAACATACAATGTTCATATAAAGGTTTAGCTGCCCAGCCAAGTAATGAAGTAGTTCAACAAAATGAAGAAAAAAATGGAATTTAAAATGCAACATAGAATTTTATTCAACACCAACAAATACATTAGATCAGAGATTACAAGTGTTCGTCACAGCTGTATTTTTGTGTGTGTGTGTTTTTGCCTTTGAAATGGATTAAAAGGTGACCAGTGATAGACTATTTCCAAGTGTACGAAACATTCTGAAAAAAGAAAAGTGTGCCGTTTTACTGTGAACCATGCACATTTATCCAGTTTAAATTATAAAAAAGTGCAATTTTAGTAGTTAAATGACCAATTTCAGTATACTTTGTGCTGGCCTCAGGTGTGCTTGTAAAGGGCCACATTTGGCCCACGGGCTGCTTGTTTGACATACCTGCTCTACAGTTAGTGGAAAATACACATCAAATAAAAGGGAAAAAATCAAGTTTTATTGAAATACTATCTTAAGATGCCAGTTGTTTTAGCCTTGTGCTTTTGTTGTAACATGTATACACTAAAAAAAAAAAAGAGGCATGCTGTTTGTGATAATTGTCATAGCTAAAACATCTTGTAGAAATGACCTTACAAGATCTTGATAATATATATATATATATATATATATATATATATATATATATATTTTATGTATAGTTTTGCCTGGTCTCTGGTGATGTCATCATTTAATGTTATGTTCATTACAGTCCTTGTTCATTAGAAATGTTCAGTGTACAAAATAGATATATGCAGCTCTTTATTATTCAGTCATGGATAAAATGATCCAATACTTTTACAAGTTTGTGTACATTCGAGTGCTTTGGACAAGTTTTTGTACATTTGTGAGCTTTGGACACTGATGAAATAAGACAAAACTAAATGATTAACCCTCTTGAGATGGCTGGGTCGATTTAGCGGTCCAGAATGTTTTGACCAAAAAAAAAAAAAAAAGGCAGCGGCCCAATAATAAAAGCCTTGAGATTGGCTGGCCAGTTTTCGTATCAGCTAATCAGATTGCCTCTCGTGTTTCTAGCACATCTTCCCATTTTACTGGCGGCTTTCATACCGCACTCTGTCAGTTTATATTTGTTTTGTACCTAGTGACCCCATCAAATGCTCAAAACATTTGTCCTTGAAACATGCCAAAAGGCACACGCAGCCGCAGGGAAATATTTTAAACAGCTTTTAACAATGATTCTCAGTTAGGACTTATTTTGGCTTCAACAATCTCAAAATTTCACAAATGGGACTATTTGATAAGTGTTAAAAAAATACATTCATAAATTCTGCAAATATGAATAGCTCATGTACATAAATATTACAACTTCAGTTTGATTCAATAAGATTGTATTAGTTCATTCAATTCCCTACAAGAATATATGAAGAGATGATTTTCACAATTCTGTAAATCCATTCTTGGGGTTTTGAAATGATTCAATTTTTTTACAAACAATTACATAATGTGTTTACAGAATTAAATCATTTTTAGACAAGAATAAAATAGGAATATAATGTACTTTGTAAATAAACTTGACCATGTCCTAAAGGAACCTGATCTGTTCTACAAGGTTGTTTTTTTTTCGAAAATGGTGGATACTGCGTTTTGAAAATAAGCTCTTCATATATAGGTTAATATATTTTTTTATATTTCTCAAGTAATTAGTTAATTTTTTTTTTGAGAAGTAATTGCATGGCTTGTGAAAAGGGCACTGTCATCTTGGCACTGTCATCTTGGCACTGTCATCTTGGCACAGACAAAAGGCTCTGCCTCAAGAGGGTTAATTAGAATGAGTTAACTGGGGATAACATCTAATCATAAGTGCTTTAGCTTAACATTCAACATTTGGATTTCCATACAGTGGCTGATGGAATTGTAAGAGGTGGTCAAATTCAATTCTCTTTGAGGTTCCTCTCTGTTGTATAACAATAATTTTCACCAATAGTTTTTTTTTTTTTCTTTCCACTGCCATTAGCAAAGTGTGATATTGTGTCCTGTTTTTAACAGATGGTTGTTTTGTGGAATGAACAATCAACATGTTTTGATGGCCAGCTGTCCACTACCTTGATGAATGTGTAAACTAATGGGCCGGTTGGGGGGGGGAGGGGGGGCCTTGTCACAGGGGTGTGACTGTTTACTGTGTCACAGGGGTGTTAACTGTTATGGGTGTGTGCTGTGTCAGAGTAGTGTGTACTGTGTCACCGGAGTGTGTGCTGTGTTATAGGGGTGTGTACTGTGTCACAGGGTGGGGGGGGGAGGGGGGGCCTTGTCACAGGGGTGTGACTGTTTACTGTGTCACAGGAGTGTTAACTGTTATGGGTGTGTGCTGTGTCACAGTAGTGTGTACTGTGTCACAGTAGTGTGTACTGTGTTATAGGGGTGTGTACTGTGTCACAGGGATGTGTACTGTGTCACAGAGATGTGTACTGTGTCACAGGGATGTGTACTGTGTCACAGGGGTGTGTACTGTGTCACAGGGGTGTGTACTGTGTCACAGGGATGTGTGCTGTGTCACAGGGGTGTGTGTTGTGTCACAGGGGTGTGTGTTGTGTCACAGGGGTGTGTGCTGTGTCACAGGGGTGTGTGCTGTGTCACAGGGGTGTGTACTGTGTCACAGGGGTGGATATTCTTTCATAGGGTTGTGTGCTGAGTCATATGGGTTTTTACAGTGACATGTGTGTGTGGTGCCTCAGGGGTTGTGTGTTGTCACAGGGTGTCCATGTGTACTGCCAAGGAAACAATCTTCATATAAACAACTCAGTAGATCAACATTCAACCAAATTGATAGCTGCACTTGTATAAAAGACTGTCTGTAAATATTGGACAAGTTTTCTTCATTTTACAATACTAATATGAACCATGTTGAGTATAAATTGACCCTAAGGACGTTATTTCTGTGCATTGAAAGATTTTTTATTCAAATGGCTCAAGCTTGTTTCTAGCTGTCTGTTGTCATAACCCATTGGTTTGTTATTTTATTCTTGCCTTCTTCTATCAAAAGTGTATACAAATAGAATAGCATTACTCAATGCATGATGTAGCATTTTTATAGAAACATCCCTTCAGATGTGGACTTTATTTACTCCTGATGATAGGCGGTTTGTCCTATCGCTACATAAATAATCCCGATGATAGGCTGTTTGTCCCATCACTCCATTTACATGTCCTCATAATTTAAAACCATTTGCTCCATTATTCTCCAACAAATACTGAACTAACTTCTTGAAACTGTGTTAACATTAACTCGTGGAAAACATTCAAGTTCAGTTTTGAAGTAATTTTATCAGTCTGAGAAGTGGTGGCCTTTTTTTTTTTGGTGTTAAACACAATTTTGTCTTTCTAAATAGTACACCTTGCCATTTTTACATTAGAAAGTTCATTTCCTATAAAAAAAAAATTATTTTATTTAAACATTCCAAGTAGAAAATAAGTTTTGCTGCAGTAACTGGCAGTTTTATTTTGTTTAAAAAATTTTTAAAAATAAAATCCCCAAGTTCTTGTAGCTTAAGCTACTTGAAACCTATATTTGTAAAACATGTGAACTGTTGCCATTGAACCTAGTAACTGTTGTCATTGAACCTAGTAACTGTTGCCATTGAACCTAGTAAGTACTTTGGTAACCACTTTATCAATTTTTAATATTTTATTTTTGTTTAAGGTTATCAGTTGTATTCCTATTTGTTGACATCAAGTCTCAGTGTAGCTGATCTCCCTGGCTCTAACATTTCAACCAACTTATGACACAGTGACATTATGACTCCTTATGATTCATATGCAACATATCCGGTTACCCTTATTTCTAGATGATTCATTTACAAGTTAAACAAAAAAATTCAAATCAAGAAGACATTTATCAAATAAATTTATTTTTTAAAAAATGCGGAGTTGTGATTCAGCTTTTTAAAGTTCTTTATATTGGGCAGGTATCCATGGTAGCAGTATAATTTATTGAGTTCATTATGAACTATTGAATATTTTTAAAGAACAGTTTGAAATGTAATGTTTTATCAGTTAGTTACAGTTACACCGCTGAAAGTGCTAGTTAAACCCAAGGGAGCTAAACTGCTTTATACTGTACAATTTATTGACAACTCATTTTTTGTGTGTGGTAACTACACTTCATTTTTTGGAAATGTTCTGATTTATTTCTCTTATTGAGCATGGAGACATTTAACTATGAACATTTAAAGGCAATTAACTTTGACTAACTTCTTGTGGTGTGTAGAATGACTTAAAGTAAAGCAAGTTTGGGAAAGTTTAGCCATTAAAACATTTGAAAAAATCACTCATGTATTAGTTTAGATTCCCTGAATGTCCTGTTGTTTTTTTTTTCATCGCTACTCTATGCAAATTGTGTACAAATGTTACTCTTTTAGTGTCTTGAAACCGCCATCATTCATAATAAACATGTGTAGTAGAATAGGTCTAAGTGTTGTTCAGCGGATTCGTAACTTCAAGAAACCTTAGATCTATGCCAACTTTATACACTTGAATATCTCTCCGTGAACTGGATTGGATGATATGATTGAATATCTCTCTGTGAACTGGATTGGATGATATGATTGAATGGGATGTTTGATGTGTGTGGTAAGCCTTTCACTCAGATATTGAAAAAACAAAACAATTTATGAATAGAGTTCATTTTTATGTGATGTTTGCTTTGCAAATTTAATGGAGTGCATGATCAACTTTCCCAATTTACTGTGTTAAATAATGAGCACAACTAAGTTGTGACCTCAGAGGCCGCTCTAATGTTAACATTTTTAAGTATTGTAATAAGGAAAAGAAAGTCAGGTTTATAGGGCTGTTAACAAGCAATGCTATGTAATCTTTCTTTTTCTGTTCTCAATCTCAGTAACAGTGAAAAC